TTGAATATTTTCGAATATTCTCTTTGGTCAATATTTCCACTCTGAAGGGTTTAATAGCATATAAGTATGCCATTTATAATGGAAAGCGTTAATCATCTCAACTCTTTCAGTATTGATCACTACAATGGTTGTCAATATGAAGCTTAACATGTTATTACACATTGTGTCTATATCTAGATTATCTAATTTGAATAGAGACAGGCTGTAATTTAATTCTCTAAGCATCGATTGATCATTCTTTCTTGTGAATAATTTATTGAATCATTTGACTCTATGTGCAGTAATTTCTAAAGAAGATAGTTTTTCACTCTATTTTTTTATACACGTTTATATCAATCACTACAATTCCCGCTCTAAAAATACCAATAAAAAAACCCCCTGTTAATGTTCTTTTTTTTACATTCACTGTGAAAATTTCGGTATCACAGTCGAAATTTCACAAATCAGGTGTAGTCACACTAAGAATATTCCTTTTTTTTTGGAAAAAAAATTTTTCTTTTTTCTTTATCAGAAATTAGATATGTACATGTTGTTTTGCAGATGATACTACCGTTTTTTGTGTGAGCTATGAAAAAATGAAATTTGAAATTCCGAAATTGTATTGTTTTTCTTTTCGTGTGTGTGTGTATGTGCATGTGCATTTGTTAATGAATTATCTCTTTTTAAATAGTATCTTATTCTGAAAGGTTGAACAATAAGACTAGTTTATCTGTTAGTAACAATATTGGTGGACATTTATATAAGATGGTGAAATGTTTCTCACCAGATGATAACATTGTGTATGCTAGAAATTCATTTTGTAATTTTTACGTTAACATTTGTGTTCTCGTTTCAGTTTTCTTCTTTATCTTAAAATATATATTTTGTGTTTCAATTCATACTTTCACTTCAGATAAGCCGAGTTGGGGGTGAACTGTTTGAAAAAACCACCAACTAAGTTGAAGCGATAACTTAATGATCCAAACACTCAGTTATTAATCAATAGGTTTTAGGTTTTAACCATCCTCCTCTACTATACAGTTATAGTAGCCTAGCAGCATTATTAACCTTCATACAAAATATCCCCCTAAATATGAACTTGTATTCGGCAAATACTTAACATTACCTATTGATTTTTATCGACACTGAGAAAAGTTTGACATTAATTAGCGCATCTTCCTTATTCATATAGATACCAAATGACTGAACTTATCGGGCTAAAGTGATTTCTTGCTGTAAATTAATTCCATGGAATTATTTACAATGATTTGTTGTTTATACTTATATGTACTACTTTTTTTCACGATTGTTTGTCACAATTATCATATTAGAAAATAAACTAGTTTTAAGTCATGTTTGTATATACTACACTATTATATACATAATTTCTACTATTCCAATGGTTTATGAATAATGAAAGAAAGAATAGTGATACAAGAGATTCTCGTCATTATTAGTTATGTTTCACAAGTTAATTTAATTTCAATAACATCTTTTAACGAAAGATTTAATTATTTTGTATCTTTGTGTTTTTCCGTTATGATACCTCAATAAATTAAACACCCTTACACAATACATTATATATACGTGTATATTATCGCTAAGGTTCTAACCCCCATATCTCCCACTAAAATTAGTTCCGAGTGATGTCACTAGTTCCCATACAACTTAATTGGTATCACCTGCTCACTAGTGACTGACTCCAGGAGATAATCCTGGAGTTCTAGTGTGAAGTCCTTACCAGTGGAGTTCAACCAGGTCTGTTGTGTGATAGGAACTCACCGAAGACAATGGTGTATGGTGGCGCAACTTCGTGGATTGGCTGAAGTTAGACATTAACACCGTTGGATGCCGGCTCAGTGGTCTAGTTGGTTAAGCGCCTGGCGCGAGACTGATTGGTCCTGGGTTCGAGTCCCTCGAAGCGGGGTCGTGGATGCGCACTGCTGTGGAGTCCCATACAGAGACGAAACGGCCTTCCAGTGCTTCCAGGTTTGTTATGGTGGTCTAGCTTCAATTGACTCATGAATTCAACCTGTGAAATTTCTAAAATATCCACAAAACCTATTCTGATATTAATTGGTAGCGTAAAACCGATTACATCAACATGTAGATGAGTAATTACATTATTATTATATTGAAGACAGTATGAAAATGATTGTAATTGATTATAGCATAGCTTAATAGTTAGCTGTTGTTAGTAGTATTATTGCAGTTAAAATAAGTTGGTTTCACTCATGCGCGCTTTTCATAAGATGGAACACGGTTTAGTACTTACTGGTTGGTACAATTCTTGTAATGCAATAACTATGTCCTGAGTGGATTATGTTTTATGATCACTATATTTTTTTTTACCATAGTAATAAACAACTATCTATCCCTCCTATCTGCGATCATAACACATTATTACTATTTTTGGTTAGTTAACTTTCTAAATGGTCATAAAATATTCATAATATTTCGTGATTTATTCATGTGAAAATTCTTATTCAGTATGATTTAAAGTTCAAGGAATTAATGACAACAGATGAATAATACTTTCTTTTTTATCTTCACATATAAACTTGGTTTGAATATCATTAAATTTATTTTTATATATGATAAATAATTTAAATGTCAGTTAATGCTGGAAATTACATTTATGGATGTGGTTGCTTTTTTTCTGAATTCTAGCCGCAAGCACATACGCCGTATGTAACGGCAATTTAGATTCGTTGAAGTTATTCTTTTTGTATTGTGACTGGTAGTTATACAGTTGGCTTTCCTTGGATAGCACTGTTGAGATATCCACACTAAAATTCGAATGCAATAGTCATCGCTTCAAATATGATATCATCTGTTCAGCGCTTCTTGACTTTGACTGGTTGACTAACTAAACGTGAATAGTGGCTCTCTAATTATGACGTTAAAGGTTCCAACTCCACTCCACCTACTTCAGTTTGGCAAACCGATTAGCATCAACACTTTTCATGCCTAGAATGTGAATGAAAGCTAGGTGACAAATATGTACTTTATAAATGAGTTGAATTAAATTTAAAATAAGAGTGAGTTTGGGATGTAATTTGTTAAGACAGTATCTTATTGTTCATGATTTACACATATGTTTAGTCGAAACTGAAATAGTTATCAACGAAAGATGATAAACTGTGCCTGTTTAGCTTTTTTCGTATTATTTTCTATTGAACATTGATGTTTTTTACGTGATTGGTAGTGATTTTCAGGGTCATTTGATGCCCCTTTCGTCTTGTCAGTTGTTAAGTTGCTTAAAGAAATGCTTTTCTGTACTTGACGTTTCTACACGGTTACTGTTTGCTAGCTTTTCTGCAAGCGATTTGTTTTTATGTTTTTTCAGTGAACAAAAACAAAATGATGCAATTTCTTACATAATAACAGCAGTCGTCCTTTCGTTATCGTTTATTATTATTATTATTATTATTATTATTATTATTATTATTATTATTATTATTATCCGCGTGTAATATAATTTCAGCTTAATCTATTTAATCAATGTAATGGTTCGTCGTTTGAACAGTGAACAAAACAACAAATGAGTAATTGTGTTACTCAATTAATGCTTGTGTGTGTGTGTCTGTTTTAATTCTTTGACCGTTAGCAGTTAAAATGTTATCTTTTAGTTTTTAATCTTTTGTTTCACATTTTTGTGCAGTATATATGTTTCATATGTTCATCACTGTATGGGTTTCTAATCCTTTGTTTTAATTGTTATCATAGTCCATTAATAACTTCAGTACTTAAAATATTCATTTCAATTTGTCGTTGAATGTTGGCTTTGTTGTTAATGAATTCAAGTTTCAACAATGAGACTGTCGATTCGGCTCCCCCACCACAGTCCAATTCAATTACATTGAATTATGTAATTGAATAAGAAATGAGGTTCAAAATCCACCGAGAAATCTTATATTTAATTACTAAGGTACATTAGTTAATTATTTAATTATGTCTAGAAAATGTCAGTGTCTTCAGTTCTAATAAAGTAGTTGTAGTAAATGCAAAATGATTGTTTTACTGTTGAAGTCCCAAATTAGAATGAAATAGCTATCCAGTACTCCTTGATTTCATAATAGATTGAAATAGAAATTTACTTGTAATTTGTCAAACATGAAAAAAAAATCAAAATTCAAGGTTATTTTTATAGAAAGAATTATAAGTCTACCACAGAATTCACAGGTTTTTCGTTATTTGATTAGCGAATTAGTTTAAAAATTAAATATTATTGGTTACTTATTCTCTGAAGAAGTGGCTTACACTAAGTCACGAAACGTCAGAAAATCTAATTTTTCTACTCATTGGGATGTTACAAATATATTATTTATTTATTTATAACAATCTACCCAATTTTCAATTTATTCGAAATTATCAAATCAAACCTAGGTAATGATACCTAGTTTGAAAATTATTGACCTATTACACTATACCCGATGCTGAATTATAAACGAGAACCTTATTATTACTGAACGGGACCACTTGGAACTCTCCTTGTACAAATGACTTTATTCGTGTTATCATTTGCACTGACTTTCATTTTGCATAGTTATCCCATTTTATTCCCCTTATAACTTATTCTTAATTTCACATTATTTCCTGCAAGACACATCATCTACTCCTTAAGAAATTGTAATGTAGCAAGCTTAACTTATCAGTATTTTTATCAATTATTTTATGACCCAGGTTTTTTTTACAATAAACTGTTTAGTGTTTCAGTCATTTAATTATTATAATCATTGGATTGAATTGTTTCATGTTTATGTGATACATTTCACTTAGGTAAAACGATTCTCTCGTTCTATCTGATGCGTAAGTTTCGTGGGATATTTGCCACAAATTTCTGGCTATTTCACAGTTTATTGCGTGCCTGATCGCTTTTCGTTTATTTGTTTTCTCTATGGCTATTTGTTTGTCTACTTCTAGATTGATTCCAATTCTTCAGTTAAAAATGATTCATTGAAAAAAGACATCTACCTATTGCATTTCTTTACTCTTTTCTCGTTTTCTTTCTCTATCAGCGTAATTGTTGGGTTCAAGATTTATTTTTGGATTTACGTAATGGTTACTTACTAGTACGTTTATTGGAGTGTTTAACGAATGAAGTATTGGTAAGTTGAATATGATAAATCAAGTACTCTTCAATTTAATTAGTACATAGTTTACTAACTCCCACTATAGTTTTTTTTTGTTTAACCAAGGACTACAATTTTTTCCAGTTTATTGTTCGTACTCCAATTTACAGTTTAGGTAATACAACACTCAACGATTAAGTGATTGGCCTACATCCTTTGTTCTGAGTTGCACTGCTTAACTGCGAATATTTACCCAGTTCGTTTAGATTGCAATTGGGTAAAAAAGTTTATCTCGTTAGTGAGATTCTTGTTTTAGACGCTCTAAAGAATTTACGTTTTACTAAAACGATCTACTGTTCAAAATCCAGTCTATACGAGTCAGTCAAAGAGTAACTCAAATGTAACTTTTCTGGCCATGGTACTTAGTTTTGTATATTTGACAAATATGGTTTTAAATTCTACAGGTAATCTCTACGTCTAGTCCTTCCTGTAAATGTTCTCCAACTATTCTTCTGCATTCCAAGCTATTGATTTCAATCAATACTTTTCTGGTGTCTAAGATATGGCATATGAGTTAAAACCATGTGATACTTCGTGCATCACTAAAATAATAACATACATAAGTTCTAGCTAACCATGGTTTCTGTCTCCAGTTAAAAAGAATTTAAACTATTAAATATATAGATCAGCAAATTTTAAATACTGGTTGTTTAACTAACATAATTACTATTTATTATTTATTTATTTGAACACATAAATATTAGTACAAAGGGGCACCGAACATATGTGCGCCACACAAGCCACCTGATTTGTGTGTGGGTTGTGATACTGCCCGGGTTTCCAGAGCGAAGCAGGTGGTTTACTTAGAGGGGGACTCACTCGGATCTTTTGACCTAAATATCTGATCCATAAGGCAGTGGAGCGACTTCAGGAGATGCGGTCCCATGGTAGCCAGTGACCAATAATTGGTTCATACACAATTTGTTCCCTCAGAATCCTGGAGTCCATGTGCACCATTGGTTTGGGATGAGGGTTTTCAAACTCCCCTAGGTGGATCCTCCATATCCACCAACCCGATTAAAGCACTGAACATTCGCTTTTCGTTCTCTCAATTTCGTAAACAACAGTGATGCCGCGAGAAGGTAGTCAGTTGGACTTCCCTGACAGCGGCTGTATACGCATGGCCATGTGAGAGCATTTGGAGGGGGAGAGTTAACTCTCCCCACTCTCGGCCTTACCAGGGTATTTGGGGGCTGTTTTTATAAAGAGGTATTTATTTAGGTCTAAACACTTACGTGTTCAAATATATTTGGTATATGGCTTACAGTGAAATTCAAGATGCACGTTTGATCGTATTAGCAAAACATGTGAGTTGGATGTACTTGTATCCTAGTGTTGATGTTCACACTGAAATTCACTTCAACTAACGTGTTATACACTAAGCTACTGAATTTAAATAACCCAACAAATATGAATGCGTTAAAAAGGGTATATATTTTCGCGTTGTTGATATTTACTACCACAATTAATTAGTTTCAGTTGTAGGATGTCCACCCCGATCCGGTTACTTCAATCATAGCTCTTTTATTCACGAGTTTTATTACATTTGATCAATTATAATTCTCATTATTAATAACAACATGAAAGCACAAAAACCCTACTCATATAAGATTATTATTATTGGACTATTTATTGTATGACACGATATAACTTCAAAATCGCTTAATTCATAAGCTTATATATGAATATTGTATTACATTCAATAAAAATGAAACTGAAGTAACGACCATTCAAATGTAACTAGTTTTATGTTATAACTCATGAAATTTTCTTTAGTATTCTCATTTCTAAATGGTCTTATAGCACATTAAGTAGTATGTAACCTTTTTTACCTACAACATTGTTTATCTTTTCTTAAGTGATAATTTTCACAACAAGAATAACAAAAAAACGACAATGGTAATATTTCAGTAATGAATGAACTTTCTGGTTTATATAAATATTTCTTCAACCACACAATTGTTTTGTACTGATTAATTTATTAATTATTTTTATTTCATAGGGGCTTGAATACATTGAAAGTCGTGTCCATTGGATACAAAATATTCAACGTGTATTAGATTTTCTTCGATATCGTGGGGTAATTTTTTGTTCTATTTTAAATTTGCCCGTAAATTTCCTCCTCTATTTTTGATTTGTTCTTTCATTGTCAAATTAACAAAATGAGGAATACAAAAGTCAATATAAATGATACCGATGAAAGTGAAATACTAAACATATGAAATATAATTTGTAGAGAAGTGATATACAAGTATAATGAAAGTTATAGGATAATATTTAATTTCATTATATAGGAGAGGATGGAGTATGAGATACATTTGTCTTGTTATTACTGTTTTGACATTAATCATTCATCTTCAGCACAAGAGAGCCAGTTGTAAATTAGGAAATCGGTTTCGCACTAGTTTAGTAATTCTCAGAAAGGTGCACATAAGATATTTCGTTTTTTTTTCCTATTAATTAATTGTATCGATATGATAAGGTCGGAAAGCATTTTAATTGAACTTTATAATCCATAGTATTATTAATTCGAAATTCTTGTCAACCTACTGCAGTTAATGACACTATTTATTTATTTGTTTATTTTAACACATAGATATTGGTACAAGGAGGCACCAAATACATATACGCCACACAAATCTCATTCGATATGTGTGAGGGCTGTGATAATGCCCGGGTGCCCAAACCGAAGCAGGTGGTTTTCTTAGGAGGCCACTCAACGAGCCTTCGACCTGAAGGTCTGATCCACAAGGCAGTGGAGCATCGTAAGGAAATGCAGTCCCATGGAAGCCGGTGACCAACAATTGGTTCATACGCCATTTGTTCCCGCAGGATACTGGAGCACATGTGCACCATTGGTTTGGAATCCGGTTAAAGCACCGGACATTCGCTTTTCGTCCTCTCATTTTCGTAAACAACCCCCCCGCCACGAGAAGGCAATGAGTAGGACTTCCCTGGCAGAGGCTATATACGAGTGGCCATGTGAGAGTATTTCGAGAGGGAAAGCGGACTCTCCCCATTCTCGGCCATGCCAGGGCATTTGGGGGCAGTTAATGACACCTCGTAAACTGATTGGAATACTACGTTCAATATCTGTCGGCCTTCAGATTTAGTTTAAAAAAAAACAACAAACTTAGGTATCTCAAATCTTACTTTTCATTAATTTTCAAATATGTCGTGTAGAATAGAATTTGGATCATATTCACACTACGTGCTTGAAACGTACTGTAATATATATATATATATTATATATATATATATATATATATATATATATATATATATATATAGGTCAATTGGGTGTCTTCATTTATTTCAGTTTTTCTCTCTATCTCGATCGTAACACTATAACTCCAGTTGTCATTCAACATTTCTCACTACTTTCTAGACATTCGAAGTATTCACTTCTCAGTCTATATTAATGGATATTTTTTGAAAATAGGTGATAATAACATTCTATTTTAACTGGCAAAACATTAAATAAATTTTGTTGATTGTAATCGCTCGTTTGATTCACTATGACTAGTGTAGATGAGTGGTAACTACTCACAAATCCAGATGATTGTCCTCAAAAAGCTCCCGGTGAACAGATATAAAAAAATAAGTTATCGTTTGGCATTATTGATTTCTCTGATCAAGATGGTTTAATTGTGACGCTTTTACCGCCGTTAAAGACATCACTAACCTATACTTTATATAGAAGTGAGCTTCTTCATAGGTTCTGCCATTTTTAATTGTCTTTACATTCCTATTGACTTTTTGCTCGATTAACCTCTGACTATGTAGACGATTTAATTTTTTCGTATGAGCTGAATAATCAGATTTGTCTACTGATTGCTTATTGATCTAAATGCTACATTCCTAGAAAGTATAATTTTTTCATCCCAGAATTTTAAAGTTTTCTCAGTTAAATTCATGTCAATGGTTGTATCTGTGCATTGATATTAATGGTAATGCATCGTGTCGTTTCAGTATCATTTCCTTCCGTTTACTAGTATATGAAGGTAGGGTTCAGTTTATTCAATGTACTATTTCTCACAATTAATACAATTTATTTCCTAGATAATGGTGCATTTATCGTTGTTATATCTTTCAGTTTACTTAAAATTCAATGAAATAATTGCATTGGTTTGTGGATAATATTTACTCCATAGGGTTTCCAAATCCTAGTCGTGATTATTTTGAATTTTATTAAACTTGATTATTGCATATTTGTGTTTCAATGAAACATGAGTCACTTCATATAACAAAGTGGTTTAGGTATACATAGATTATTTCACACAAATAAACGTGTTTAAAAGTCATTTAAAATGTCAATGATTGTTAGATATGGGTTTTGTAGACCATTCATGAACCGAGAAAATTAAGTCATAATTATTAGACTTATTTATTGCTCACCATATCACATTTATTAAAACATAACTGCATACTTTACATACGATTATACGGTTATATATATACATGCATTTAATATAAGAATCATGTAAATGACCTTAGTTACTGAATAGAATTATAAACCTTTTTATCAAGTAGAATAGTTGAGATTCCTTTACATTTATTGTCTTTGATTATGTCATAAATCGTTGATAAAAGGTCTATTTTTCTTTTAGCTAGAAGTACAACATATTCTTAATCCATAAATGTTAATTTATATTTGTAAAGAGCATTGCACCAATAAGGGGTAGGTTATAAGTTCAATCCTTATTAATCCACTTACGTTATTTTAAGGAACTGAGCAATAGTATCTTTAACCCTAACAGAAATTATATTTGTTCTTACCTGAGTTTATAAATCTGTACTTGGTAAATAAGTTATACTAATATTGTGAATTTGTTATAACTTGTGGCCTTGTGCCCTATTAATATATGACGTAATGATACTGTCAATTCGAGAACAGTGATTTATCAACTGGATCAATGATGCGTAAACCAGTACGAACAGTCTAGAGTCTTTATCGTTTCTTCTTCCTGCCTAGCCGTGCCTATTAAATCCAGAACACTAATCTCAGCTTCCGTGATATAAATCATGTATTTCAAACATACTGAGGTTATATACAAACCAAATAGACCACATCGTACCATAAAGTAGAAAATAACATTTCTACAAGATCTAGCCAAAAGTGGCTGTGAATGTGGGAGACTAATTAATAGACTGGACATAACTCAAGAACGGTAAATCGTATAATAATAATTTATAGGTCAAAGTAAAGCTTGTAATATGAGGAGTATAGATGTACATAATCTAGATACTAAATAGTTAGTTATACATTAAGAATAATAATAATATTTGCCCATAAATAGTTCTCGATAGTTACCATTCATAATTCTCGCCGGGATAAAACAGAATGACACATATAAAAGAAAAAGATTGAGTCAATGCAACAGTATTAAGAACAAAATTTACACTATCTTTCAAATTTTGTAAACCTTATTATTTACTGACTACTACTTTTTCATTATTTATCTTTTCCTATTTATTTGTCTTTTTTCGGTTTTACCACATATGTTGCCCTTCTATTATCATTAACTTATCTTTATCCATTTTTTCCACATGTAAAACCGATGGTTAGAGACCCTAAATGACATGGCTCAAAATCATTTGCAATGGCGCAGGTGCTTCCACTCTTTGTGTTCTCCCAAATTTTGATCTCCTTATTCCTCCTTGTCTCTTTTTTCCTCTTCCCAAATTTATTTCACTGTATTATACTCTTTAAATAACATCTCCAAACACTAATTTTCCTGATTACTGCTTATACTCTTATTACCTCTACCACTACGGGATTTGAATCGACCACTCCATCTGTGTGGTGTGGTAACTCGAACTGATGTACGTACGTACGAGTTCTACGTTGTTACTGACTGACTGACTGATATTTATAGAAGTGAGAGTCTTAATAAATACTTGATTTTTATTTAGTCCTTTAATTAGTGCAATCAACGTTAGAGCCTAGCGCTGATGTGGATTAGCCCAAATCGTCATACGATGACATGAAAATAATAGGATAAATTATCTACAACCTGATCAACTGATCTCCCATCTTTGCCTAGTAGTACCCTGCATCTGACTTCCATATTGGTTACACGGTTGTTCAGAAAAACTTGAACAGTGCTTTGAAGACATCTATTTTCAAGAAAATGTAGCCTACGCATATAGTCTACTTTCAAAGAATAAGTTTTATGTTTAATTTTATCGGCAAATGCTATCAATTTTATATTATAAGCTTCTTTTACTATTTCATTATCATTTTGAAATTAACATGTTTTTGTGTTCATTTTGTTTATGTATTATTTTCTCCCATTTAATTATTTTTAAAAATCATAGATTCGCATAGTAAATATTCGTGCAGATGAAATCGTCGATGGTAATCCCAAGTTAACATTAGGCCTTATTTGGATTATAATTTTACATTTTCAAGTAAGTTTACTCTCAACTTCTATTCGTTATTGTAATAAGCTGTTCATTTTTTGCATGATAAATGCTATTTTTAGGGTGTCGTGGAAATTGGTTTTCTTTGCAGGTTGTATTCCTTATGAATTGGTCTCAATTGGGTTGTCATCTGAAACCAGAGTGCATTGGACAAGCTTTTAGCCCTGGTACGGAACCTCTCGGCAGTGGACACCCATCATGTATCCGGAGGTCTAACTCACGACATTTAGGTCTCACAACGAATGCTTAATTATTAGATCCAACCGTGTAGCGTTCAGTTAAAGCCTAATAAGTTCCCAATCATATATTTATCGTTTATTGTCTCACTAACAAATACGAGAATTTCATAGTGTATTGGTTTAGATTTTTAGTGTTTCAACCATCGTAACAATGGTGGACGGTGGCGCAATTTCGTGTATTGGTTGAAGTTAGATATTAACACCGTTGGATGCCGGCTTAGTGGTCTATAGCTTAAGCGTTCGCGCGCGAGACCGATAGGTTCTGAGTTTGAATCTTACGAGTCGGGATCGTGGATGCGCACTGCCGAGGAGTTTCATACAGGGACGAAACGGCCGTCCAGTGCCTCCAGGTTTTCCATGGTGGTCTAGCTTTAGTCGATTCATGAATTCAACTATTAAATTACTATAATATCCCCAAAAACCTTCTCTGATAATTATTTATTTATTACCTGTGATGTTTTGTGGTAAATATTAATGGACTAATTCAAACATTCGAGTAATCCAGGTTTATTACTCTATGGCTAGTAAGAACATGAGTGCTATAATTTTCCTGAAGTGCTAGTGAGAAATCATGATTGTTCGAATTCAAACACATTGGGAGTGAATCAGTAGTTTCTAGTGGCAATAAATGACCATACATTATTACAAATAGACTGAATTTAGCTATCCAAATCAATGGATGTCAATTTAGTGACCTGAAGGCCCTAAGTTCCTCTCCCTCATAGGGGTCGTAAATGCGTGCTATTGAAGCGTCGTATGCTAGGACGAAACAGCTATCTAATACTTTTTAATTTTCAAAGGTTTTGTAACAGGAATTAATTCGTGACAGAAATTCAGATAATATTCCAGTTTAAAGCATATGTCGCAATGTCTTTACACATACCCTCAATGTTAGTATAGGAGAAGAATTAGGAACAAGATAGAGAAGTTGTTTTGGGAAAACCCCGGTGACTGAATGTAGTCTTTTCCGCCACCGAAATTCAGTTGTTTTCCAAATAAGTGTTAAATATGCTTACTTGTTAAAATTTCTCGTAATATTTTGTTTAAAACCCTAATATGTGTCTATGGTGGAAACAGTTCATATAAAAGACTCTCTACTTTTGTCACCACGACATCTTTGCTATATATATATATATATATATATATATATATTCAGATTGATGTATATGAGTGTGTTGACTCTGAACTGGTACAAATATACTTGATACGTTTTTCAAAGCCAAAAAAGATGAATATTCCAGACAGAAAATAAAACATAAAAATATGCTTATTGCAAGAATTGAAACTATATGCCTAATAGCAAATTAGTGGGTTTCATGTCTACCAGACAAGTGAAAGAAATGGAGACAGAATTATAACCGGTTCGATAATAATCTACTTGATATTTAATACATCCGCTCTTAATATCTAGTCTTAGAAACAGTCAAACCATAAATCTAGTCTTTCGCTGTATCTGTATGAAACAGGATAAATTACGGCTGAAATACTATTGTAACAGGTTTTTTATTATCGATGGAAATCGAAGTTTTATCACGATGTAATACATTTCAAAAATCAATTATTTTTATCAGATGTGACAGTAACAAACATTTAAATTTCTATCAATTTCCGTGCATACTTTAGTCGTTTTGTTTATGGCAACCTTAAAGAGAAAAGTCTACTTAAACTAAATGAGTTGTTTAGTATTTTCTGTTTTAAATTAATTAGACATAAACAGTGTTTTTTTTATCAGACATATGTAGACAGGTGCGTATAATGTTTCTTCCATATAGAGTTAAACTACTTGATAGTAGTTTTTTTGATTTGGAGAAATCGTTTTTTTATTCAATCGACTAACTTTCTGTCCGAGAATTTAGTTTTATTGTTGCTTTTTTAGTAAGTTTTAATGTAAATTTAAATGTAAATTCCTTGTTTCGGACCTGTGTAATAAGCTATCATCTACAATTGAGTTTAGGGTTTTTTATACTTGTGCCAGTATCTATATCTATTTTTTTCTAATTTTTGACTTCCCATTGTAAATCAGTCTTGTTACACATTCCCTCTACTTTCTGAAAATAATTACAGAATTCACGCCAGTTTACAGGCATGATCAATTTGATATAAATAGTAACATTAGATGTACAGAACAAACATGTGATAGAAGAAAGTTTTAAGTATACTAGTTCAGTAATTGTTTAGGTAGTACATGTATCACAGCGATCCAATGCATCAGCCGGGAACTTTTAATATTTCTTAAATGAACAGCCTGTTGATTTATGAACGGTGTAATTAAGGTCATTTCGTGTGCGAGATCGAATTAATGATAATTATCTACAACTAGAGAAATTAAAACGAAAACAGAGAGCACGGAACAACAAAGCAGTAATTACCAAAATATGTCAATCACGTCTACCAAAATGCGTGTGTCATGTCACACAGTGATATACTGTTGATGTTATTCAAATTAGTTAAACTTGCTGGGGACGGTGTTAACATAAAGTGACAGCAAGTAGGTGGTTTTACTTAGGGAATGCACTAATAAAGATGGCTAAACATTTAAATTTCCTATAATATCACTTGTGGAATGAGATACACTTACAGGTGCTAGGACATTCAGTGCATTATCAGAGGAGCAGTATGCATCGGTGCAGCGAACAAATAATGGGAGTGATCTTATCGTACGGATAGATTGTGGTTGGTTATTCCAGAGTCTAGAAAATTTACAGGTAAAGTGATTCATATAAAGAGATGATTTAGAATAAGTTCGTTCCACTAGTGCCAAGGAATTACGGATGTCATAATGAGAAGTTTCTGCATATTGAATCACGTTATTGGATGTAAAGGATAATTTATTAAGTAGTTTGAAGAAAAAGATAAGATTTAGTTTGAGTCTCCTCTTCCATAAAGAGTCTAGCCCAAGTTTATTTCATCTAGAATTATAAGTTAAGGTACAATCAGCTCCAAGAATACGAAGTGTAAATCGTCTCTGTACTGATTCCAGCCTTAATTTATCCTTTATGCGCTCACTGCTAAGAATAAACCTGCAATATTTTAGAAGAGGTCGAACACAAACTTTGTACATTAAAATACGTGACTCATTGTTGTTGTTGAGACTTAGAGGTATGTTTTAATATCTGTTCTGTAAACGACAAGTCTTGGGAATATCAAGTCCTAAGTCTACTACTGTATGTAACCTAGATAACACTTCTCCATTTATGGTAATGTCTAGGTTGAGTGATGAATCGCCGAAGCATATCCATCCACATTTAGCCGTATTAAGCTCCAGTTGCCATTTTAAGCACCATTGTGCTACCTAGTTAAGCTCCATGATGAGCAATTTTGCATATTTTTCAGCTCATGTGGAGAAAATGAATTTACTACTTTAAGATCATCTGCATATAGAAGGGGCTTACCCACACAAAAACTCACAAATATCATTGATAGACAATAAAAAGAGCAAAGGGCCTAAGACACTACCTTGTATTACACCACTTCTAATAGGGACAGCGTTCGACAATGAAGAGTTAATTTTAACTATTTGATGTCGATTGCTGAGAAGGAATCAAACCAAGCAAGCAAAGGGTTTTGAACCCCATAAGATGCGAGTTTACCTATAAGAAGTTGGTGGCTAACCATGTCAAAGGCTTTAGAAATGTCCAGATATAGCACTAAAACTAGATATTATTGGCTACGTAGAGAAAAGACTAAATTAAAGAAGTCAAAATGATATGTCATGCAAGATCGATTTTTAAGAAATCCATGTTGAGTATCATTGATAAATTTTCCAGTGAGTAAATAGTTGAAAAGTTCATCTCTTATAATTTTTTCCATAATCCTAGAGATAGCTGGAGTGATATTTATCGGCCTATAATTGTTCATGTCACTCTTATCTCTAGATTTGTAACGTGGTATGATGTACGCGGTTTTCCAACAGTAAGGATAAGAACCAGTTTCCATAGAGAGAGTAAACAGCTTTAGAAGAAGAAGTTCAATATCTGGACCACCATATTTGTAGAGAAATGATGAAATCCTGTCTGCTCCATGACCTCTCGAAAGCTTAAGGGTATTTATAGCCTTATTAATTTTCATGCGTGTGAAGGATGCAGATTTTATTAAGTTGCTAGTCACGCACATAACTCTTGAAGCAGAGCCACTTATGATTCCTACACCATTCGCAAAAATACCACTGAAAATGTCTGCTGTAGTTTTAGAGTCGTATATAACAGTGCTATTATTCTGGATTAAATTGCGATACGTTATCCTTAGTTTCTTAAATTTTTCTGTTCTATGTTGGTCAAACGACATGGTTTCAGTCTTTTCTCAACTTCTGGATACTCTCGGTAATTTCTTAGGGTTCCCAGTACAAATAACTTAGATTCAGCGTACTTTAGGATCGAAGAGTAAGATTTTATTGTGATTACAAGTATCTTTTAACTTTCTTCCTTATAATTTATAGTCATTGTTAGTTTATTTAGAAATTAACCAATGGCTTGCTTAATCTCGCTTGTTTCATTGATGATTGTTCCGAATTCATTCGTAATTTTACTCCTTTTTCACTCCCTTCGTAACATACCTCTCTACTACTAAGCTGACTCAACGTTTTCAACAGGTGCTGGCAAACTCAAACTTAAAAAACTGACCTTTTAATCTCCTTTCAGTATTTGAAATTTTAACTAATTTCATTCATTCCCTTATAGCTAAAACTTTAACATAAAATATAAATTTACATCTAGCTCCCGAGATGTTAATCAAAAATCTAGGTTTTGTCATTTTCTCATCTTTAATTGATAAGTTTGCTTTAAGATAAAAATAGTAAAGGACTCGACAGTAAATCTCTAAATGATGGTATTCTATGTAATAGAGACACGTGAGTTTTGAAACCTGAATAATACAAGTTACTACTTGGTGTTCTGATTAGTGAATGACGGAAGGTGGGTGTAACTTTTCATAGGCTATCGATTGTTAGTTTATTGAGTAACCGCAGTTTTCAACTCAGTGTTAATAATAGTAGGAAAACTTCATAATAGAATACATGCAAGAATAACGTTTCTTTCATACTTCTTCATGTAACTTGTTCAACATACCCTGAAGCTTGGATTGATGTTAGTTTTCTCAACTTTTATGTTTTGAGGCTGGACCCATTGACTTACATCTTCAATGATTGGTTTTAAAAATGACGATGAAAATTTTATAAATGTCCATGAGTTTCCCATGTGTATCACCATTTGTTGAAATGGCAATAAAACTTTAGTTATCTTCTCGATTGTTGAGCCCTAGGTAGAGAGTCATTCGTGTATATACCATAAATTCTGTTGTAAGATATTTTGTACCAACGATTGCGTTGTTGTTCCAAATTGTGTAGCCTGGAACGTGATCATATTAAAGTCAAATAAGTAGAGCTGTTCATAATTCTTAGTGATGCATTATTCTGATAATATATTATTACATTTTTGAAAGTCTTATAATGTTGTTTGGGTCAATCTACTCACATACACATTCTTAACAATCATTAAGTGTACACTGGTAACTGAGATAATCTTTTATCGATTTAGTATAATTTGCATCATTTCTAAATTTGTTTTAGTGTTTAAATTGTTATTACTCTATTCATTAGTACATTACATCTTATGAAATAACTTGATCTTGTTATAGTCAATAAGATGATGAAGTTTAATACAACCTCTTTTTGTGGATATAACTACTATAATCCTACTAAAAGCCGATACAACTTGAATATTTATTTATGGTTTTTACTTATTAAATAAGTATAAGCATGGGCGTTGGCTTTTTTTATATATATCATGATTTTATGGCAGGAAGATAGGTTAATGTTTTAATAAAGACAGAATATTAAACCTATGGCAATTTGACTAGGATTAAGAGAGGGGGTGGTCGAGGTGGAAGGAACATAGTTCAGCTGTCAGCTACGCATGCATATGGATGCGACGATCAAACCGACGGAAAGACAATATGGTATAAGATATTGTTATTATTATTTATATTATGGTAGACAATATTCATAATGGTTTTAATATTTGAAAATTAACATTCTAATTGGTGTTTTATATGTATGTTTGTGTATATGCATAAATATGATCATAATTGTAATTCACTACTTTTGATTTCGTGAACGATCTGTTGTAAATGATCTGTGAGGAAATGTCGATTATGTTCGTTGTTAGGGTGAATAATCTTTCACCTCACAGAAACGTACACACAAAAAGTTAACTATATTATATGGTCCGTTTGTAGCTAGTGTATGTATGTACGTATGCACGTTAGTGTAATTCCAGTACGTGTACTATTTTCTAATCTTATATGGATTATCTTGGATATATTTCATGTATATCGGTTTTATTACTCTCTCTACATGTTTCTTTCTGGATTATGATTTCATGAGTTAAAACAGTTGGTGATTTACTTGATAGGATTAATTTACCTATTGTTATCGGCTTTTTTACCTTCTAAATTGGTAAATACATTTACATTAGCTTTTATGTGTTTTCTTAAATATGTGCTAATTGTTTATCATTCATTATATGTTGAAACGTCTATGTTATACGTGCATCAGAGTTGTTTTTCTTTATGTTTCTGAACTTTTTTTGAAAAATCAACATAACTGGTACTATTACACTCTCTACAACTCTCCATACTGATAACTAAAACTGTTATGTAAATAAATTATTTCACTGGTCATTGCGCAATATTGTTTGTACTTTTGGAATTACAGTTGATCAGTCACTCTCTTTGTACAATTAGAGACGACAGTTGCACTATCATTTTAAGTAGTCTAGAATAATCACAAAATAAAAAACGCTTAAAATATTCTAGTTAGTTGCATATTGCTAGTCATATACTTTAGTTAATTTAGAACTAATGACATTCTACCATACAGCAATAAATAAAGAGTGGTAAATATTGTTTTTTGACATTCATATATAAATAAAAAATATACCAAGCCATGCAATTTCATAAGAATTTACTTGAATTTTTGAAAAATACTCCTATAACTTAAGTCATTTAGTTATGTTACGCTTCAGTTATTGTTACATGTTTCTACGGCTTGCTGAACTAGAAGTTGAGTCCATTGCTATTTTGACTAATCCATGAGCTTACCTTGATGTAAAAAGAAAGGATAACGTGTTAAGTGAAGCCTAGCTAACGGTTTAGGTGTGAACAATTCATTTGAGTTGTATATCTTGTTCAAATGAATATATATATATATATATATATATATATATATATATATATATACTAATATTTTAGCTAGTCATTGTGAAATAGTAGAGAAAGACTACTTACTTGTTCCATTTGCAGCCAGTTGGACTCAGTAGTTGATTTAAGCCTTCAAATGAACATTTGAATGCCTAAACTTATGTATATACTGATGAAACTATCAATATATTATTTGTTCTAATACTAATTACTTCATTATAAACTGTTAAGCAATTATCTCTGTATGTATTTATTTCTTCTACTACTGTCTTTATTATTATTAGCATACAAAACCAAAAAATGCATTGACTAAAATTTTCCTCTAAAAAGTTAATTTTATTGATTTCCATGTTAGCTAAAAAGATGTACGTTTTTTGTAACTTCCCCTCTCATTCTCTCTGTATTCTGTTAGTTGATTTATTGATGGAATCGATATAGATAAATGCATTTTTTCTTCTACAAAAAAAGATAAAAATGTAGAGGGTATACTTAAAATCAATCACCTTATAGCCGTAGTGTACTTTTTTCACTGGTTTGTTCTTTTTTAATTCCTATTTATATTCCCTTCTTAAATAAGAGAATAAGATAATGAGAAATTAAAATATTCAAAGAGTTAGATGATCTTCCCTTTTTAAAAAAATTTAAAATCTTTACATATTTATCGTTCTTGTTGTTAAGTGGACGTGGTTGATTCATCCTCAGAATTAGATATGTAATTGTATGCATATGCATACCTGTGACTGTAACGATGGATAGAACATTGAGGAATAGTTCAACTGGCATCCTGATACACTGCTGTTATTCACTATTCGGCAACAACGTGAACCGGATATCAACACTGGACCTCCAACTATTAACCTTTAATTAACTAGAAACCACGGAAGACATCAATCTCAGACTGTTCAACTTCAAATTTCTCTTTGAACAGTGATAACGAATTATCTATTAGATTGAGTGAAATTTATCTTGCATCCCGAAATTTCAACATCATCACCTCCTTTTTTATGAAACGACAGAGATATTTTTAGTTTGAGACTCTGGGTGACATGGCTGAGAATCGATCACAATGGCGTGGGTGTATACACTTTCTGCCTTCCCTGAAACTATAAGATCGAAATTGCTTTATATCTTTCTTTCTACCAACTAATTCATTTTTCCTGTATGCAATCTTTCTTTTATATATTACCACCACTAAATTAACTGCTTCTATGAATCCGGTGTTCATCTTGTTGTGCTAATGAGGTGTGGCAACTTGGACCGATGCACATATGTGCCTGGTCCTACGTTGTAGCTGACTGACTGTTTCCAAGATCTTAACTTCAATGTTAGGACCTGGCAACATGAAAGTAGATTGGTTTCAAATCTAAGGTTTTTACTAGTTTTTGAATTAGGGATATTTACTGACACCGTAATTTTAGAGCTAAAGGATTCATTAAATTCTGTCAATCTGCATGTCTTATGGCAGTGTTTGTCTTCGAAAGGCGTACCGAAAATGTACGTAACCGTACCGCAAACTCTTCACTTGAATACAAGGAAATTACAACCATTTAATATCCTACTTATATCTATTTTCAGTAAGGGAATTTGTGGAGATTGTAGTATTTTTAACAGTTGAATTCACGAGTCGCTCAGAGTCAGACCACCATCGGAAACCTCGAAGCACTAGACGGCTATTTCGTCCCAGCATGAAATTCGTCAGCAGTGCAGGTGCACGATCTCACACGTAGGACTCGAACTAAGGAACTTCGGTCTCACGCGCGGACCCTTAACCTTGCGCAACCCTTCTATTTGTTTCATCATAACATTCATTGCGTACATTTCTCTTCATATCACTTTGACCTTTATTTTTATCTTGTTCCATTTGTTTCTTTTTGCCATCCACTAAAATATATATTTAGTTGGCGGAATTGATTGAAAATCAGACAAAATTACAATCGGATCTTCGTGTTAATTTATCCATGGATAATGCGGCTAAACAAACATTACTTAGTTGGTGTCGAGCAGTCACAGCAAATTATCCAGGTGTATATATAAAAGACTTTACTGAATCGTGGAAAGATGGTCGCGCTTTCCTTGCCTTGATTCATCGTTATAGGTAAGTGTATTTGCCTAGAATTATATGTTTCTATACTCTTACATCCAATTTAGTATATTTTATCTTTTGATCAACAAAACACTTGAAGGATTCAATGGTTTTCAGATCGATCATTGTAAACATGTAACTAAATTAGAACGCGCTATTTTCTAAAAGGTATCCTACACTATCAAAACACGAAAATAACTAGTGATATTTTTTGCTATAGAATTTCTTGTTTAAAACTTTTATGTTCCTTATAATTTGTGTTTATTTCAAGGCTATAAATATCCCATTTTTGGGAAAAGTATGTCGGAAATTTTCAGGCACTTCAATAACTTTCAATTGGCTTTTTTAAACTTCCTTCTACAGGTTAGCATTTTAAAATATTGTGTTAGTAAATAAATCTTAGATAGATCACTGTACTATTTTTAAAAGAGATTCTGAAGTGAATTATGTTGGGTTTTTTTAAATCGCAATGTGTTATGAAACATGTCTATGTTTTTTAATCTTTCTGACCACTCTTTAGTTAGTATTTAACCTTCTTTAAGGTTTATTTCTGATGCTAGATAGATTTAACGACTTCGTTCGTTCTAATCACTTTTAAGCTGTATTACGAATACACATTTTTCTTGATATAATAATCTTAATCAATTCTTGTTTCTAACTGCGTTATTCTTCAAAATTGTTTACTAACAATTTACTTTATACATTTACTGGGAGTCTACTCGATGCTAGTCACTCAGTATAATGTCGCTCTCCATTATGTCCTACAGATGATTAACCACGTCTCCATTAGCTCACTTTAATTCCTATAATTTTTTATTCTAAATAATGTGGACTAGACTTTTTTCTCTCTGCAAGATCACTTACACATCTTGATTATGAATGCTGGCTACCATAACTCCTTAGTTCCGTATTAAGTACAATAGATCTTTTGTGACTGAACTTAGTAAATGAATTCCAATTTTAACCAATAAGCAACTGTGCAAATTAATGACCAAATAATACACCAATGGTTGGTCAGATTGTAAGTCTTCATCACGTGACGTTTTTGGGACATATACTTAGTGATCTCAACCGTCCTACCTTGATCAAAGATGTTGACTAGCTTGATAATAAGTCGGAAGAAAGCTGGTGGTGACTAAACAAAAATGTAGGATAAGTCTATAAAGTCGTTGAGTGTTGGTCTGAGTCATGTTCGTAGATGCAGACTGTCTGATTGGAGTCTTCACTATTATCATGACCAATAGTTGGAGACGTTAGATAACATGGCTCAGAATCCGTCCCAATCACATAATTGTATCCACTCTTTGTCTTCCCCTATATTTCTAGTTTCAAAAGTACATTAAACGTTTTTTATTCCAAAAAGTCATTCGTTTTAGAATCATATCGTCTATACCTACTCATTTTAATATCTTTGATACTTCTACTACTTTGGTGTTATTCACATTTTGTTAATATTATGTATAAACTTTAATCGATGCTCTGTTGTGCAAAGTTCTATGTTACTTCTTGATTGACTAACTGAAAAATACCACTAAATGGTTATTTATTAACTGATTATCATAGTATTAGTAATAATTTGTGACGACAACTTATCGTATTGGTCATGAAAACTATTACGTGTATAGACAGAGATCTTTCTATGGTCACTTATAATCGAACTATCGCGTCATCCGTCACAACACCGTAACAAAATGCGCGTCAGTGTCATAACGTAGAACCTGTACATATGTGCATCGGTTCAACTTGTCATAAACCATCAACACAGAGATGAATTTGTCAGACCAAATCCCAGAATAGTAGGGGTAGTAACGGTGTTAATGATAAGATGAAAGATTAAGAATCGACGATACGACTCGAAACGAATATAGATTAGCGAAAAAACAAACAAAACAAGTGACGAGGAACTTAGAACCTCAGGATTTGGGGGGAGACAAAGAGTGGATTCGTCTGCGCCGTTACAAACGATTTCGAGCCATCTCATTATAAGCCGCTTATTATTGGCTAGGATAAGCGCGCAAACCCTAAACATATTGTCTACAAATATTAAAATGGCTCAATTCAGTTGTCAATAACTTCACGGACTGGTTTCATCCTTTAGTAATGTAGAGTGGAGCGAACTGTTGTTCAATAAACTCGTTCTTTAGTTGAAAGACGGTTATCTCGGCCACGGTTCAAGTGACGCAAGTTTGCAAGTTTTCTGAATCTGTGCCCAGATTTCGTCAGATACCAGATCATCAGTACTGATGAGACTCTCAAGACAAGTGATGCGGTCGACACACTCATTTACTTCATTCTTTATCACTAATTCAGGCAGTGACGCAAACCAATCCTGAAGTAAGATTTTACATTCGGAGGGTGAGAACCGCATCATAATGAGCATATACTAATGTGTTACATAGAATATGTATTTAAGGTGTATGATAAAGAAAGTGCAATTTGAAACAGATAATACCGGAATACAAAACCCACTAGGTAGTCCAAATCATAGGTTGACTTTTATTACTTACGTAGGCTTTCATTTTTTGTAAAATTATCTCATTATTACAAGAAAAAAAAACAATCTTTTCGATTTTATAGAATTTTATTGACTTATTGGAAGGTTTTATATTTATCTCATATCAACTGTAATTCTATTGAAGACTCAAGTGTTTGTTTTTTATTCTAACACTTATGATCTGTTTATTAATCAATATTCTTGATCAATTTAATTTTCTTCTGCCTATAATATTATTTGAAAGTATACATTTTTGCCTGGTTATTATTCTTGTTTTCACTTTATTTGAATCTATAATTTATCTGGATGGCGTTTTCTATCATTGTTATAATTTAATATCTTTCTGTTTGTTTTAATTTAGACCGGATTTAATTGATTTTCGTCAAGTTGATCGTCAATCTGCCCGTGAAAATCTTGATTTAACATTTGACTTAGCTGAACGTGAACTTGAAGTTACTCGTTTATTTGATTCAGATGGTAGGAGTTTTAATTTCATTGTCTTAAAAGATGTTTTATACTTTTACTAATCAATATCAATCTCATATATGAATAGATTATGAAAAATAAATAAATGATGTATGTTACTAAAATGATTGTATAACCATAAGTATTTAGTTTTGGCTCTGAGACATTTTGACCAGTGATCTGATAATGTATTAGAAAGATGCAGACTATATCGTTTTTTTTTCTTAAAACAATTAAAAGGTAGATAGTTTCCTAAACAAATTCATAATGTTTCAGTCTGTATTTCATTGCAGTAAATTGTTAAACAAATCAATAGAATTAGTCTACTTCAAGATCCATTTGTTACACTTCAAAGTGTTGTTAATAGTTATGACTTTTTTTCTTAAAAATAAACGATACATGCCGTCCAGTCCTATTGAGTTTCTTTTTCAATATAAATTAAAATGTTTTCTTTTGGTTTTCAGAATATTTATAAGACTTCATACTGATTATGTAACAAATCAACAAATTGATGAATTTCCACTAACTGTTAAAGCTACGTGAATATTATCTAACCTTTACAAACTTGTTCTTGCTTTTGCTTTTGTTTTAGATATTGCAAAAACAACTGATGAACGATCGATTATAACTTATGTAGCCTCAATTTATGATAAACTAGTATGTAATTCATCAAAACATTCATTATATCCAGTACCAATTGTACCACCTATGCCTTCTTTATATCATCATGATCAAAATTCTACTAGTAGACCAATTGATTCAACTTTTCAACTTCTTAGTGCTTCTAATCAACTTTCAGATGAATTAAAATCACTTTGGTCAGATTATCGTATTTTAGGTAGTGATCTAATACAATGGTTACGATCAACTACTGATCGTATGGCTAATCGTCATTTTCCATCAGATTTAAAATCAATGCAAGAACGTGTTATGGATGAAATACGACGGCATAGACGTGATGAACGACCAAGAAGAGAAAGAGAACGTCAACAATTAGTTCGTATGTATGAAGAATTAAAGGTAAAAAGGAAACGTTATTCTTCATGTGTATTAAAATAGTTCATCATAGTTCTTTCTTTTTATCCTGAGGACTTTTTTTTTACCAATAATAACTTCATTTTTTATGATTTACTTCATGAATTACTCTATATTAGATAACCATTAAGAACCAGAAAGTACTGGAAAGTTGTTTCTGTCCCAACATGTATCTCCTCAACAGCGCACATTCACGATCTCATCAAGAATCAAGCGCATGGACTTCAGGTCTCAATGTGAGCGCCACTGAATCGGCATACAGTGAGAATGTCGCGAGTTAATTGAATTCAGAATTCCAAACCATTGGACAGAGGTTTCTCAACATTTTGAAACTTATGTCCACGAAGATACTAGATATTAAAATCAGGAACTTCAGATGTCATAGTGAAACGCTCAGTACTTTCCAACTGATTAGTTGAGATCCAGCTGTCTAACTTCAATCAGTTTGCTATACTTCACCATCAATATCTGTTAATTTTAAAGAAATATAGTCACTTTTTTTTACATATATTCTCATCACAATACTCCAAAGTGCATTAGTGATCATTAACCAGCCTCGATGTTTATTTATATATTATACAAACACTGTATTATCATAGTTTATCCCAAAACGTTTTATTAAATAATAATACCTCAACTTGTTGTTTTGTCTGGATTCATCAACATTGTTGTTCTGTTCTTTTTTGTATACTCTTATGTTTCGACTTTAAAAAAAAACTAAATATATATTCAACCAAATATTCATTTTACATGCTATGTATGTGCACAAAAGACGTTCAATTTGAGTTAAACAACACATACCGTCAAATTGACGGTGTAGCAATGGGAAGTTCATTTTCTCCAATTATCCCAATGTTTTTGTGTGTTATTTTTAAAAAAAAACAAAGTTTATATATGCGATTAACGAAATGACAAAATACTATAAGTATGTTTATGATACGTCAATTATTCGTAACAGCAAACGGAATGGAATTCATTTGGGATAACTCTTCAAGAAGGCATTTAACTATCGGACACGAAAAGAACAACATATTCAACTTTCTAAAAATTGCTATACGACGGAGTGCAAAGGGAACTTTTCAACGTCCGATTTAGCAAAACAGCAATTAGAATGGTCCATACCTCAATTTCAGTAGTTTTTATCCAATTAGTTTGTTGTAACGCGAAATGCTGCTGATTGGAGCGCAGCGAATTATTGATCGGACCAAAGACGCGTAAAACACGTAAGAACGACCTAGAGTCCCGATCGGCCCTGTTTCCCTGTCTAGCCTAGCCAGTTGAGTCCAGAACGCAAGTCTCAGCCTCGGAGATATGAATCATTATATTTCAAGCATACTCTGTTTATATACCAATCAAGCAGACCACATCGTACCATAAAATAGAAAATAACATTGTACAATATTGACCAGTAGGAAAACGACACGTGAAATAAATATTGACCAATAAGAAAGTAATACCATTTCAAGCCCAAGGATAGCGTTAAACTTAACAGAATAATTTTTGGGATATTTTCCTGAATATCCTACTATAATTACAAGAAAACACTGGTTAAAATACTATTGTATAGAGTAGAAACTAAGCTCACCACTTAACACTCACAAACTGGAAAAATTGATAATTGTTTAAAAATACTTCAGGGATAACTGCTACCCACCGAAATTCATTGATAAGTGTAAAAAATCTAAGACATTAAGGCGGATGTGGCCAAAGTCAATAAAATGCCAACATTTATCCATCTCAACTTTAAAGATGATACGTTGCAAGCATAATCATCAGGAGGCTTAACACTGCATTAGCCAGAATTTATCTTACAATCAAACTATTAATCCTGTATAAAACAACATGTCCAATAAGCCAATCAATAGTCAACAAGTATATCTTTCATGTTACCAATAACTGGGTCTATGAATTCAAACTTACCTGTTAAAGTAGCTAATATGTTTCCTAAGCTTTTAAACGAGGGGAAGAAACTTTAAGTAGCACAATCACTCGATATCTCTTGGACATAGGACATCAGGTTTATACATTGAAATCTTTCAAGATGATCAATAAATATCCAAGTTCAAGTCTTCCAAAATTTGCTGAATATTTTGCTGTCAGGCGTCAAAAACATGATTTATATATCCTAAAGGAATCGATTATCCGTCTTCTTCTGCCTTGGCAACACGGAACCTTTCTTCATTACACCATAAAATCCTGTTCAACTGCTTGTTTCAATTGATGACATCACTACGTTTTCTATTTTGACTGTCTTCTAGATCAATTATCTTATTTTGTCTTAATGACCTTTACTCATTTTTTCTTACTTATTCTTAGCGTTTTTCATTGTGCAACCACTCTTTTGTACCTCTATTATGTAAGTAATTTAAACCCATTTTGTAATTATAATTTCTAACTATTACGGATTGTAAGCAACTGATGTCAATCAAACGAAATAAAATCAATCCTTGTTATTCCGCTTAAGCCACACTTCTTGCTCTCCTCAAAATAATCAAGGAAACAATGTGTATAAAATCACAATGTACGAACAGATTGACGTTGGGGAAACAGTTTAAAACGATTTGAAAATCATTATAGGGTACTGTATAATTTTGATATATATTCTACAAACTATATATTGAATTTTGACTTCATTTAATTGTGAACATTAAACATGTTGCTTACATCTTTAAAATGTCAGTATTAGTAATTTAATATTTACTTTGTGCAACCATAATCCATCCGTTTGTCCAATACTTTTGTATGGTTTTATTTCCTTTGTATTCACTTTTCTAAATTTATTTTTTTATAACTTCTTTATATTGAACTATACTTGTCAATTTGTTTTATAAAACGAAATTTATCTGGATTAATTTGTCAAGTCATGATAATGTTTATTATTATTACTCGACAAGTCGCATAATCTACTTATATTACATATAATATTATATATTATTATTGTTATCATTATCATATATTATATGTATACTTATAATTATTATGACAATCTTATCGTTTATTCTAATGACATATGAAATCATATATAGATATATATATCCTAAATATTTACAGTTTCAAAAATTTGTTTACTTAATGTATCAACAAACTAGTGTTTCAATACATTTTATAACCTTAAACAGAACTAACCCAGTTCAATTTGATGTGCTTTGCAATTATCATAATAATAGTACTAATCATGATAATGGTAACAGTAATAATTATTGTTATAAGTATTATTATTATTATTGGTAGTAGTAGTAGTAGTAATGATATTAATAGTTTAGTGAACGACGAACTCAGTGAAGGAAGAACGCTTTATTGTTTGATGCAAGTTTACAGAGTGCCTTCGTAAAATATGAAAACCACACATTTAATACTTTATTTGCACATCTTCCTTCAGCTATCCTTTACATGTTTCATAATTCCTTCAATGCTGTTCTCTTCAATTCAGTCTTCTCCTGCCAGACATCCCACTTCTGATTGTGTTACATACTACTTATATCTGTCAACATAAGTAACATACACCACAGTAGTAATAGTAGTAGTATGTTTTTTAGATTCAGTGTTCTAGATGAATGAATTTTGTTTCATAGTTACCTGCTTACAAGTAATAACGCAGTACTTAATGAGTACAAAATTCTTCAAACGTATTTTATGTATTCTGATATAGTAATAAGTAAAATTTGTGTGGGGTGAGATACTGCTCACGCAGGTAAGCCGAGAAAATTATTCTTCTTAGAGTACCATTTTCTAAACCTTTAACCTCAAATTCTAATTCACAAAGTAGTAGAGTAACATCAAGAGCTTCTACCTCACGGTTTTCAATGACCAAAAACGAGTTCATGCATGAATTTTTCTGTTAGAATTCTGGAACTTATGTAAACCACTGGTTTGGAACCAGAGTTTTCTAACCCCTCGGTGAACAACCTTCCGTGTTGACCAATCCAGTTTAGGCACCAAACGTTCACTTTTCATTCTTGCCTAATCCCAACTCTCATATGAATCCACTGAGTAAAAATTTCCTTACGGAGATTATAACTGTATAGCCGTATGAGAGCATTTCGAAAGGAAAAGTAAACTTTCCTCAATCTTGTTCGTACCGGGGCATTTAGAGAAATCTCTGAATTGAACTACGAATGTATATTTCACTTAAATAAATAAATATGTTAGCTGCTCATGGCACTAAATTCATTTTTCTATGTTAGAACGTCTTTTAAGAATTCATTCTATTCATCATGATTAACTTGTCTATAATTAATTTAATCGCTTTTTGTTTTTTACATTTCAAAAAGCCATCTTTTGAACGTGGTTTACTACCAATTGATTTATTCCTTCGAATTGAACAAATTCACCGATTATGGGATGAATATGATATTGCTTTACAAGAACGTGAACTGGCTGCAAGGAATGAGACTCATCGTTTAGATCGTTTACAATGGGCTGGTAATCGAGCTCTACGTGATTGCATTCAAGTCCAAGCACAGTTGACTGCCTTAGAACGGCGAGTTGTTGAGGTTTGTAATATATATATCCCCTTAATACTGTCCTCTTTTTATATAAGTTCAATTTCACTATGGCTTTAAAAAAATTCCTTTTATTTGGGAATGTTAGTACTTATGAGGTACGCATAAATATATGCGATTGGGCTTTCTGGTACACTATTTTGAGGTCAGATATACCCTCTCTCTATCTCTATATATGATATATATTGTATGCATAGTATTCGCCAGTTATAAATAACTTGCCAACTCACCCAGTTTATTATCACGAGTATATTGTGTTAAAAACGTTTTTTAAGGGTCATTCCATTCGTTTTTATCGTCATTATTATTCACATTGTTCATATTATTTTTCATACCGACACATTTCGTCTATCGATCCCGTGTACTATAATTAAATAAGTGCAAATTTACAGTAGATCAAATTATCAATTTTGTTCCATACTGAAATCAAATTGTTTTGTACCTTTTTGAACTAAAGTGAACAGTTGCTAAACACAAGGAAATAGCGAAAAGTTATTATTTCCATCTCTCCACTTAACCTATCTGCCTATTTATCTATCCCACTCATCCATCCCTTTGTACACATCCAAAAATTTACAGTATACTATAATCATAGATGCATAAAATTATCGTAATTAAATCAGATCCAAATTCCCTTTATTTTATTATACAAAATTATCATTGTTCACTAAAAGTTGACTCATTTTAACTTCATGTAAAAACAATTATGGACAACGATTTTTTACTTTATAATTATCAAATATTATAAACTACTATAATGTTAGTGACAATTTCATTTCGATTTTGATATAATTCATTATTATCGTTTTTTTTCAATTACATTATCTAATCGATGATGTATACTAGAACATTACTCATTTATCAGGTAGTGATTTATATACTTGGTATTGATGCAGACTATTGGTTTGATGGCTGGTCATACTATCTGGCTTCGCAAATGCAAACAGGTGGAGTGCAGATGGAACCTGTTTTCTTGAAAACCGAATTATATAACTACTAAGTTACTGTTTCACCACCATAATTCACTAAGTACGAACTAGTGTTTTCTCATTGCAATCTGAAATTAATTTAAACAGGCAATCAACAGTCCCTAGTATTTATGCTTCTATCTTGAGTTTCAATATAATATTGTAGAGTTTGAATCGTATATTTTAAAGTGAATCGTTAACACTGTTGTCATATCCTTAGCTGTTAATCAAATGGAGTTATAATTTCACTCACGAGACTTATCTCTAGACTTTTAACCAAATAGATTTTTAAATTACAGAAATACTGGTTAACTGACATTGTATATATAGCTGAATAAAATGGTATTATTTTTATACAATTTATTTTATCAAAGTACTACTACAATGGATTACTTATCAGTTAACGAGTGAATTAATCAAGCACCAATATGAAGTTCAAAAAAATATCAACACTGTAACACTTGGCACTTCATTTATTTCTCTAATCGAATCTTTTTTTTATGAGAAAACCTAGTGTGTTTTATATATAAACAATAAACAAAGTTTCATTTACTATTTAATTTGTCGATTTCATCTATATGTTGAAATTAGTTGAAATCTGAACTACCTGGTCAGCATATATTCGATACTAATAATGAAATAAGACGTTGGTGTGATCAACTAACTCAAATTGAAGCTAAAATCAATGGATTATTCAATCAAGTACAACATTTACGCACTGGACGATATATGCAAACAGAACAAATTTATAGAAAGTAAGTTATCATAATTAGTTGAGTTTAGTGTTCAAAATTATTTGTACTATTCTAACTAGTATTGGCTAATGATTAATTGGTAATTCAGTAAAGGGTATAGATTTTTGTTTATGTAACTCAATTATGACATTAAATAAATGGATTGTTGATTGCCATGTTATCGTTTTACGTCGTATATTGGTCATAAATTATGTCAAAATATCAACTCTGCACACCGAACCCGTACGAACACCGGATTTTAAAATATCTAATATTTTTTTTATCTCAATCTTTTAATTACAGTAGTTTAATAGTTAAATTACTTGAATTTCAGCTAGTGAGTTGCTACTTCGAACCTTGATCCACTTATTTCTACGTATGATGGTGGTAATGTTAGATCCCCAGAACTCGCTTGGTAAATGCCTTATTTTTGTAATCCTATCTTAAAATTTAAATCTCTTGTTTTCGCGCCACAAGCACCCATTTTCACTATATCGTATTTCTCACTTGGGAGTACCTTAAATGCTATTGGCTCGTTGTCTTTTAATATGCTGTTTTTTTAACGTTTTCCAAGGACATTGTGGTTGTTGTTCGTGCTTCTGACTACTTGTGGAATATATTTCCCTGTTCTGAACTCGGACTTCTCTCTCTAGTCAGCAGGGTTGATACGCCTCGCAATAATTAGCTTATCCGGTCATTGTATCACTGAGTCTTCGTTCCGTTCGCAGATTAGGTGAACGAGTAATCTCTTCAAACATAGCATATGAACAGCTAATGAGTAATACTGGTAGCTTTCACATAAAAGTATGACTCGTATATGGTGATTATGTAAAATTTTACTTTCAATGTATATTACATTAGACTTTCACTGGGTGTTTGTTCGATTTTAGATATAAACAGCTTAGAAAACTTCGTCCGTAATGCGTCAAACTACCTTGTTCATTGTAGCATTTAGACAAGTGTATCATTAACCACTTGTGTATATTGATTTATGATAGATTATTAGTAAATATGATACGTGAAAGCGGAATGTCATACAATAGTACGTTTCGATTATAGTTCTATACATACCTTGCTGATAAATTCTGAAGATTTAGGACTTTTTACCGATTAATTTCAGTCTATCAAATTAAACAAAAGGATAGAGATATTAATTTACCTGTAATGTTCTTATCCAACTGGAAAATTTTAGTTGATACTGAAAACTCCAGTAGTACATTATTACTATTTCATATCTTGTAGATTTTATTAGATGTTAATAATTATCCAAGTCACAGTCAAAGAAGCTAGAAAACATTCGAACAACTCTTGACAAACCAGTGACCTATAAAATTTTTCATGAACTGAAATATCCAATATTAATATCAGCATATTTTCCAGAATTCCAAGGGTTCTCGCAACCATATAAACCATCTCTAATTTTTGTGCCTAAACTTACTTTTATGTTTAACAATATTTTCTCGATACTTCCCAATTGATGAAATAACAGTTTTGTACAGGTTAACGTGAAGGTGGCTTGTTTAATGCCCAAACCGAACAATATGTTCACTCACTCAATACACCAATTAATAATAATGTTCGAGTCTTTTTATGAACCCAGTAATTTAAACTCATTTATCCACCATTGATTTCCTACTGTATTATAACAAATCGATTGAGATTTGCCCGATTTATTAATGGTTTATATTATGTCTTACGTTCATATCTCCCATTCCTTTCTTTTATAGTCTATTTCATATAATGTTAAATTGTCAAATATGCATGCCTGTTACCTAACATATCATATATATATATATATATGGCTGATCATACTGTGTTTGTTACCACTGCTTACCAGTATCATCGTCACATGATATTACCAGTAAATTAGTATATACTCTATTACATACATACGTTTTAAGTTTGCCTATCTATACACTATCCTTACCATAATCTTATGTTCATACACCTATGCATAATATACATAATTTAGAATGAATAATTTTAAATGGAAACAGTAAAGATTATTAAATTTATTCTTTTTCACTCATTATATTGTTGTTGATAATAACTCCAATACTATATTTCATAATTGCATAGAAGTATAGAAATAAATAAATACATGTTGAAGGTGTTTTAGTCTCTGACACGAAAGAATATCCTCATCTATCGTCTTGAAATAAATAATTAAATCATTCATTCCTTTCAGTTAGACAATCATTGGAAACCAGGAAGCATTGGGCAGGTGTTTATTCCTATTATGGAACTCTCCAGCAACGAGCGCCCCATACTGGATCGAACCTAGAACCATTAGTCTAGCGCGCGAACGCCTAAACTTTAGACCACTATGTGAGACATTTATCCACCACAGAGGATGGAAAATGGTCACGCAATGTCGCAAATTGATTGAAGTTAGACATTTGCATCACTGGATGCTGGCTCAGTGGCCTAAAGGTTTAGAACTCTCGTGCGAGACTGATAGTTCTAGGTTCTAGGGATGTTCATCGCGGAAGAGTCTCATATCAAGATGAAACAGCTGTCCAGTGCTTTTTAGTTTTAAATAGATATTTAATTAAGAGAAATGAATAACTTAAACTATGAAAACTTAAAAATGTCAATAAATTTACTATAGAAACAAAGAAATTTATCACTGATTAATTTCGGTAAACAAATTTTTAGTAGGAAACTGTAATCAACACAATCAATTTATTCGGTAACTAATGAATAAAATGTTTTTTGGAAAAAAAATCATAAATAGACTAAGTTAAAAATGTACACACTGACTTGATAACTGAATGGTATAATGTTCATGTCATGAGACCTGATTTAGCCTAATTTCACTACTATCTGGAGCTGTATAAGTCTTATTGATACGAAGATCCTGATTAAAACAGAAATATTTGTTAATTTCTCGTAAAAAAATTATTTGCTTTATTAAATAAATTCTAAGTTTACAACATGACAGTGATATAATATTTGAAAACTCTAAATAAAAAAGAAAATGGTGTTTCAAATTCTCTAAATGAAATTGAATAGACATCCAATAATCTGTTGATTGATCGTTGATTCTTCAATTCATTTGGAATTTTTGTAAATGTAACCTTTCAAAATTACTTTTAGTTATAAATGAGTTCTTTGGAAGCTTTTGGAAATTTGGAAGTTTTTTGGAAATTAATCTATATCATAGTTTGATGTCAGTTACAAATTGTGAAAAGGATGATTCTGTTATATTTTTTATATGATTCAAATGATATCACCTATCCTACTGTCATCGGTGGGTAGTTGCATTATGCTTTGATGGAATAGTCCAGACTAAAATCAAATTGACACGCTTGTATTTGGGGTTCCGCATTCAAAGTAATCTTTAATCATTTTAGCTTTCCATTACATGATTTCTTATTCTTCCGATGAACTTTCTTGAATTTCACAACTATTTTGAAATTTCTTATTCTTTTCCAGTGTTTGTACATTACACCAGAAATTCTTAGATCTTCAACGTTTATATCGAGAATTTACATCTTCTTCAACGGTATTATCACCACACAGTGTCGTCTCTAGTTCTGTTTGTTCAACATCTATGACCATGTCGAGTCACTCTACATTCACATCTCTTAAAAATGGTACCATTTTGGGAAACACTCACCTTATTCAAGGTAAATTAATTAGTCCAATTGAACAATGCTTACAATGGATTATGGAACATTCTCACACTGTACAAACTGCATCCTATGGAGCAAATCGAAAATGTAAGATTTTTTTCGCGCCACTTCTCTGTTGTGTTGATGGTTAGAAACAATTAGAATTTATAGTTTTACATATGGTTAGGACTTGAACAGCATTTTTTCACTATTGCATAATATCAAAATTATCTAGGAATATTTGTGATATAGTCTGTATTGTGATTCAATTTACTGTTATTGATTTATTCTATCAATAGTTGTAAGATAGAAAACTAAATAACGGTACTAGAAATTGCTAGTTTTTATACATCTATACGTCCTGATTGTCTTAATTCACTATTTAGACATAGTGTGTTCGTTATCTGACTTTAGCTTATCTTGTCTGATGGGTTAGACTGTGCAACATATATCTTACTTACTTACTTTCGCCTGTTACTCCTAATGGAGCATAGGCCGCCGACCAGCATTCTCCAACCCACTCTGTCCTGGACCTTCTTTTCTTGTTCATTTTTCTCATGTTTATCTCCATTTCCCGGCGTGCAACATATATCGCACTATATTAAATTCCTTACACAGTCCCACAATCCACCTATACTGTTATTCCATAGTATCTTGCGCAACGCGTTACCAGGATCCGATTCTTTGCAGCGTCGTTGATGTACATTACTGATAAATCTCAAGCTAAGTCTATACGGTTACCCGTTTCCGTTGTACGCTCGGATATTAAGGGAACATGATTTTCTACCTTAGGACCCTAACTGTTTCAGGCGTTTTTGCTATGTATCTCAGCACCCTCAACTGCACAGCTTGTTTACTCCTTCCAATGCATTCATATTTACTCACACGCATATGTTAACTGGTCAACACAACTAATTATGGAGAAATAATTTATGCGAGATACAAGTTTATGTGGATTTGTTAGCTTAACCCTCTGAGAACTGATAAGTTTGGGTGCTTAACACTATCTTCCTGATGGCTGTCATCAATCTTCAGTTCAATTTTATACCATCTAATTTTCTTCTGTGTAGTAGCCTAAAAACTTTCCTTCTGCACATGAGTTAAAATGCTATCTGACTGTATTAATTTATAATTTCTATCGTTATCTGTTTATCAGATTATATCTAAAGCTATTTAGTGACGTGTGATACTAGCTGGTTTCAATAAGGACGTTAACATTTCAGATTAAACCCCTTAAATCAATACGTATTAACTGTGCCAAAGAAAATATACAAGGGTTTGAATGTATATTTATGTGTTTGTAGGTTGGTCATTATTATGTTTGTACAAATAGAAGACGTAGTAGTGAGTCACGCGACTTGAGTGTATTATCATTGGTTGATAATAACTATGCCTCGCTGTGTCGATATCTCTGTCACATTTACAAGGAACGCTAGAGCCTTAACACTTGTTTCTGTAATAATACACCAACATATTCAAATGAAATTATTTTAATGAATTAGAGAATGGCATTAAACACAATTAGTTTCATTACTCGTGCAAAGTAAGTCGTATGTAATTATTTATCACACTTTAAACCACTGTTATCATCAATCTTATTGATATTAATGCCATATCTTTTTGGGACAATAGTTAACGATTTAACCACATAAACATTAATCCCCGATGCTACGGGTTCGAACTCCTACTTCGGTTCAAGCATCCGGTCAGTAGTTTCGTATGCCCCCACGTATAAATATGTGCATTAAAGTCAAGTAAAAACAACCTGCATCTGGTTAATAAGTCTCACTTCTTATTAATATTACTGTACTCATTTTTTTTCAGCCGTAGAAGAAGCTACTAGGCGTCATGAACAATTTCATCGAGAAGTGTTGAACTTTAAGAACGAAATCGATCGATGCAAAGCTAATCAACAAAAGGTTATTATTTGTTTTATTTTAATTTTTTCTGCTTTTTTTTAACTTTTTGACTTATTATTCTAGAATTAAACCGTTTACATATCACACCCTGACAACCTTCTACTTAAAAGGACATGATTATCCCAACCACTTCGTCCCAGATAGCCTTTACTCTAAATAGGATAACTGAGTAAATAATATGTAGATTCACACAAGTTAAACGATAAATTATTTAGTTTGTGTTGAGAAACTACTAAGATCAATATGCTATACTACCTAGAAGTTGGAAGGATATTAAGGATGGCCTGATTGAGGAATAGAAATAATCGATGAATTTACCAGTCTCAGTCGTGTCAAAAAATTGTTCATATTTTATTCCAAGAGAACAACCGATAGCTCATGATCTAATTTCATTATGTAGATTAAATTCGATCATACCTGTATACAGACACATCTATTCTCTGTCTCATTTTATTGTCCATTTTTATGTTTTTGCAGTTATTCATATAAATTCCTTTTTTGCTAGTTTATATGGAGTACAGTAACTTGAACCGGTACATATTTTACCCACTTTTCACGTTAATCGAATGTATCGTTATCTGAAAAGTAAAGTCTGTTTGATTAATTTCCAATTCAATATTTCATAATTAATCATTGTAATTTGACTACAAATCACTGTGGGTAATTGATCTCAAAATTATCTGTTAGTTTTACTTCTTATTCTCTCTAGTAATGTAACTCACTTATCCAATAGGGATTTATGTTGTTGGCTCTGTGCTGAAAACTGTGTTAGGGCTAACGACACCACTATGCTTTTTAAACTTACGTATACGTGTATCAGGGTTCAATCAAACCTATAACTCTCACAAATTGCAAGTTTATTGCTTTAACCACTAAGTTACTATCGTACACTTACTTCAGTTTCGATATCGTTATTAAGTGGTTCGAACTTGAGAAAACAAATTTATTTTCTAGAATTCTTTCGGATAAACCTAATTCCTATTTAGTCTTTTTAAAACTCTTGATGTGTTACATTTCCTATCGATTATCAATTACATTAGTCACATAATTTTTGTTCTCTGCCTAAACAGCTTCCGACACGATCAAAAGAAGAGAAACAAGTTCTTAATGAATCACTTCAAATACTTGAACAAAATTATCAACAATTAATGGTAATCGGTAGAAACATTTTCTATTTTATCTATTATGATTATTATTTTCTTGCTATAACAGTAAATCAGTGAATTATCTTTATTCATAGTAACTCATCAATATATGTTTACACATACAGATAGATTTAATAAATATTTAGAATTGAATTAGTCAGACAGTCAAAGCAACGTTAGAACCGGACACAACTTTATATCGGTCCAAATTACTTCACTATATCAATACAAGAAACGTAAATTGACATGATGTATAAAAAATTAGCCGAAATACTGATGATATCATTTATATTAAGGACACCTCGTCAAGATTCCAAAGAAAGGAGATCTGAGCAAATGTGAAAACTACAGGGACATAACACTACTGTCAATACCAGGGAAAGTCTTCAACAGATTGTTGCTGAACCGGATGAAGGATGCAGTAGACGCCCAACTTCGAGATCAACAAGCTGGATTCCGTAAGGATCGGTCGTGCACAGACCAAATTGCAACACTACGGATCATCGTCGAACAATCAGTTGAGTGGAACTCATCACTATACATCAACTTCATTGATTATGAAAAGGCATTCGACAGTGTAGATAGGAGAACATTATGGAAACTTCTTCGACACTACGGAGTTTCTGAGAAGATTGTCAATATTATCCGGAACTCATACGACGGACTACAGTGCAAAGTAGTGCATGGAGGACAGCTGACAGATGCATTCCAAGTAAGGACCGGAGTCAGACAAGGCTGACTACTCTCTCCCTTCCTCTTTCTCCTAGTGGCCGACTGGATTATGGAGACCTCGACATCTGAGGGAAAACACGGCATACAATGGACAGCTCAGAACCAATTAGACGATTTGGACTTCGCAGATGACCTAGCCCTCCTATCGCATACACACGAACAGATGCAGATGAAGACAACCAGTGTAGCAGCAGTCTCTGCATCAGTAGGCCTCAGCATACACAAAGGGAAAACGAAGGTCCTCAAATTCAAAGCGGAGAACAGCAATCCAATCACTCTGGAAGATGTAGAATCCTTCACATACCTGGGAAGCATCATCGATAAACAAGGAGGATCCGATGCAGACGTAAAGGCAAGGATCGGCAAAGCAAGGGTCGCATTCCTACAATTGAAGAACATATGGAACTCAAAACAACTTTCAACCAATATCAAAGTGAGAATCTTCAATACGAACGTCAAGGCAGTTCTACTGTATGGAGCTGAAACTTGGAGAACTACAACAACCACAATCAAGAAAGTACAAGTATTTATAAATAGCTGTCTTCGCAAGATACTCAACATCCATTGGCCGGATACCATCAGCAATAGCCTTCTGTGGGAGTGAACAAACCAACTTCCAGCTGAAGAAGAAATTAGGAAAAGACGATGGAAATGGATAGGACATGCATTACGCAAATCGTTAAACTGCATCACGAGATAAGCCCTAACTTGGAATCCTGAAGGGAAGCGAAAAAGAGGAAGGCCAAAGAACACATTGCGTCGGATAATAGAAGCAGATATGAAAACGATGAATTACAACTGGATGGAGCTAGAAAGGATTGCCCAGGACAGGGTTGGATGGAGAATGCTGGTGAGCGGCCTATGCTCCTTCACGAGGAGTAACAGGCGTAAGTAAGTAAGTTAACTTGGTTGTGGAGGGTTGAAAGAAGGCTATAAATATCATTAAAGATTATTGGAACCCATGATTTAAGTGCAAGATTTAGGATATATACATCTGCACTTGTGTAACCGTATCACTTAAGGTCTAGCACTGCTAATGTTCATATTAATCGGTCTGCACGCAGCACAGTCTAATAGTCAGTGACTTCATATATTAATGTTACGTTTTAATTTACCCGCCAATAGCCTTCTTGCAACCCAATTTTATGCCGACCAGTATTGTACGTTAACATAAACGGTGATTAGGAGTGCGTAACACGTACCTTAGGCACTTCAGATAAATATTAGATAAGCTGTAATGATTGTGTGTTTTATTTTATTTTCCAACGAATATTTTTTTTAATATATGAATTCGATCATACTGCATTCTAATAAAATCTTTAATGAAATTCAGTAAGAAAGTTCTGCACTTGGCTACTGAATTATATTTAACTATGTCTGTAGTCCTTACTCCTTAATGAATACTGTACTGTATACGTTGGACTTGATCGAAATCATAAAACACAATACTCATGAGTTTTCACTCTGATAACTACTGAGAACAATCGATAACATTTAATTGAATAACTATTATAGTACTGTTATATCTTTACTAAGATACCTTATAAGAGTCAGATTTATTGAACCTAACTGTGGTTGAACTATCAAAATAGCTTCTGAACGAATTAATCACTTTTTATACATTATTTTTAAAAATAAAAATGACCGTAGTTATTTAATTAACTAGCTAAATTTGAAATTTCAATGTCTGTTTCATAGTAAGACATTTTGTTGTCTCATAAACTGATTTAGTTGAATCCGTTATAATTGAATAATTTCCTCGCTATTTTCTTCTTGTCCTAGATTTTACTCATTTCTATTTTAAATATCGCAATTTATTTACAATATTTATTAGGAAGCTTCATTGAAACGTCGAAATATGTCGAAGTCATTATTGGAATTTGTAGAACGTGCCCATAATGAATTAATTTGGCTAAGGGAACATGAATCATTCGAGGTGACTCGAGATTGGACTGAAATTTATCATAATGAACTAGATCGTATTCGAATTGATTTTCAAGTGGGTTGTTTGTATAATTGATCGATTTTTTTGCTTTACATTAAATTTCCATATGTTTACATATGTATATAATTGTGATCATGGAGACTAGTAATCATATGACATTTAAAAATCGGTGTAATTTATCAGAATTATTCTGTCAATTGTGAACCGAATACATAAATGTTTACTCTCTGTAATACCATTTCATCAAGTTCATTATTCATTGATGTTTGAAAACAAATTCAATTGTAAGCTAAAGAGATGTAGTTCTTGTGACATTAAGCATCAGTACTATGGGACCTTGGAAACACTTTGTTCAACGCTAAAAACGATGGTCCATGTCTAATCACTTTACATTTCACACTTAATATTGAATACATTGTCACTCGATAGCATTTTCTGCACCGTCAATCAACATTATACTCAAAAGAACTGTGATATTATTCATTCTAATTTAAAATAATCTTTTCTTAAAGTTAACTTTTTCACAAAATTCCACTAAGTAGAAAGAGCATTAACAATTAACGAGTACGAAAAACCTGCATTTTCATTCAGTTTTCTTCTTTACAAAAGAAGGAAAATGTAAAAATTCCAACTCTAAAAAAATGTACGCTCACTTTGCCCCACAGATATGATTGCCACCAGTAATCCGTTTAAAACACACCAGGAACTACTCGAATAAAGGTAGTGCGTGACCGGTTTCGAGTATTTGTTTCCTGAATTCCGCGATCGCAATGACAATTTTCGGAAACCACTACTTTTCAGAAACTTCAAGAAGAAGTACCCTTTATAGTATGGACAACTGGGAAGTGAAAGGCGCTCACACACCTAATAGCATTAGACTAATTACATTATTTATCTTTCAACCAATGGATTATTAGTATGCTCAGGATCTGTCCTACCGAATTCAGTTTTTAATTGCCATTTGATATAGATAATCTTTATAAGAATTTTAAAAAGTATAACTCGAAACCGAGTGCATAAACGTGTATTCATTTATTGAATTATAAGTTCAAAGTGATTTATCGTGAATGAAAAAGAAACATAAATTTATGTCAATTGCTTTCATGCTTCTTACACGTTTTTTTTTACTGTGTGTACAAGCATGTTTGTTTAATGAGTGAAATAATTGATTGTTGAACCGATCGATCGATCCATGTTACATACAACCTTGTGATCTGAAGCACTTTCTAACTGAATTTTGTTCTCTTTTTTTATGTATGTTTTCTATCTTGTCATTCAATCAATGCGCTGAGTTTGTGTTTGTTTCTTCTCAATATAATTATCTATATTTTATTAGGTATTAAATTGTTCCATTCGATTTCTTATCGTAGTCTATACACCTACAAGTTATTTATCACTTTAATGATGATTAACTTAAGGCTTAGAAAAAATTGTGTAATTTTATACTCGGTACAGTGTGTAATTATTGCTACACCGGCATGTCATAATTGTAAACTGTCTTTTAGTGTGATATGATTTGCTTCACAAAAAATTGAATGTAAAGAAATGAAGTCTTTATTTGTCAAATCTAAATATAAGCATGTTGTGAATGTTAAATATTTTCAAGTTAAAAGCCGATAACACTTTTTATGGCTTACTGTCAATTCACTTGCTTTTTATAATCATGTTAAAAGTACCGAACTAAACATATTAGTTACCGGTACCTGTTATTGTTTACTTATTTTATGCTTTCGCAACACTTTCATTTATCTATACGATCATAGATTCATCTAACTATTTATTCGAAGTACATGTATATACGTACTTATGTGTATAGATGTTTTAAAAAGTAAAAAAAGAGAACAAAAATACACAATTAAACTGCTTTTATATACATTTCTACTTATTACCGTTATTTTTCTGATTAAAAAATCTATTAAATCATTCTTTGTGTATAATGCATTCACATTTCTAATAGATAGGTCACTGTTTTTCATATCTCTTCCTATTCTTCCTCATTCACCCCTTTATTGATGTTATTATTATTATTATCATTATTACCATTATTATCTGTTGTCAGTGTTTAATCTTCGCTCTCTCTTCGATTAAAAATGTCGATCCTATCGATCTCTATTTGCATTTTATACATAGTCCCTTGAAAATATTTTTAGTAAGGACAGTATGGATTATTGACTTTCGTAGAATTGAAATTTAAGGAATGCACGTTGTTTTTTTGTTTTGTTTTAGATCTCATTGATTATAATTGGAATTATTGTATTGAAATAATAAATTCTCATATGAGGTGCTTATGATTAGATATAAAATTGTTAAATGAAACTCCAAGTGAATAACATACTGAACAAACTGTTCCTTTTCACTTTTTTTTGGTTGAGTTTCAATTACCACCAGAATGTTTGGATTTGAATAGGTTGAAACAGTTGAATTATGTAGTGCTTATAAAATTTATACTCGTAAACTACACTATCAGAAATATGTAGAGCGATTACCAATATATTTCACAAGTTACATTATAGTTGCTAAATAGTAACATGGTTAACAATTAATTGGACTAACTTCCTGATGAGTCCATATTTAAGCGAAAAAAATATGAGTCTATAGGTTATTTATGAGAATCATCTTCAATTTTTTATCCCAGTCTGATTATAATACTTCGTAGTCTGAAGCTTTTGATATTCAAAACAATGTGTGGTGTAATTTTTAAAATGAGTGTTCGTTTTGATTGTATCATTCCTACCTAGAACTCTGTCTATAGTTTAGTATGGTTACTCTTCGCAGTATTATTCCCATTTCTTCGAGGAATCTTGAACCTTATTATATTTATGATCTCTTCTTTAAAAATGAATTTCAATGATAAAATTTCAATTACTGTCAACAGTACAAGTTTATCTTGCTTAGAGAAGTCGAGGAACGTTCAATACATATATATAATTCTCTCCTAATTGTCGTTATTGTATCTGTCATCGTCAACTTCATTGTTTTCTTCCTGATTATTCGTATCACAGTGTCATACACAATTACATTTTTGATTGACAATTATATAAATAAAGCAACTAGGAATTTTGCACAACTATAAAACTTCTATATTTGAGTTCAATGAACGAGGAAAACCCTTTTCAGTTACACATATTCACACTATCGTAAAATGTATTCACTAGATTGCTCAATGAAACAGCTGTTTATCATAAGATCATCTTTTGTAGAAACCAGATTTCAACTATATTGTGCTAATTAAAATATGTAACAGTTTGCAAAATCATATTTATGACTTCAAGAAACATACTGTTGATAAATCTTGAGGTTTTGATAGATATTGCTGATAAAATAGTTACAAATCTTTTGAAAAAGCCCATTCACAAGACATTTATTTTCATATAATCTAAGCTAGCCGTCCGTGTTATTTTTATAAGGGGAAAAATATTTTTCTCTTGACCATGCACTGAGCATTAGCTCATTACCCTGGGTGCTAGATCAATAGACTCATTAAATCATAATACATTTGACTCAATTATTCAACTAAATGTCAATTACCAAATAAAAACCAGAACGAGAGTTTATTAACACATACTAAAATGCTGTCAATAAGTGAAGATGAAAACAATATAAAATTTGAATCATATTTAGTGTAGTCGAATATCCTCGTCCTCAATCCACTCACCAATCAACAAAAGATACTTTCGCTCGAGACATCAGTCATATGCTTCCTTATGAAGGATAGGTTTTTATGACTGACTGTATCAATGTATATATCCCAATTCATCAGTTTCTACAAAATTAGTTTTTTTAAATACATCTTTATGTTATTGTTTCCTTTCTAGGAAAAAATCTAGCATTTCAACCTCTTCCTCAAACATAACGGCGTGAACATGCAAACATATTTTTAAATTATTTCTCTTAAGTATTTCAGAGATTGATCTGACGTATTTTCATAAATATTTCTGGCTGATTTTTCCTACTGCATATAATTGTATAGAGATATTTTTATTGAACAAATATATTGGCTATAATAAGTATTTTATATGCTTATTTCTTCCGAATTCTAGAAACTTATGCATGAGATACATGAAAAAGAAATTGTCTACAGTGAACTCAGTGTATTAGGCTCATCTATCCAATTGGAAAATTATGATGTAACTGATCTTGTACAGGTAAGTGCTGGATCTATCGTTAGTCTGTTTGTATATATTACATTTGAGGTAATTTTCAGTTGTTGCCAAAATATCAATTGATTATTGATAATACAGACTGGTACGGTGGTTTTAATGATCAAACCACTTGGATTTCAACCATTAAGTTATAGATCCATGTTTAGAAATGCTTATTTGAGTTTGAGTAACAAGTTAACTGAAGAGCTGCTTATTAAGTGGTTGTACATTACATATTATTATTATTATTATTATTATTATCATTATTATTATTATTGTTATTATTATACTATTTCACAGAGTTTTAGTTTGAAAACCAAGACAACTATTCAGTTATTTCTTGTGTTTTATGCAGCTTATTTTTTTCAATAGTAATATTTCTTTCAACTTAAAATAATTATTATCAATATCTTGTCTGGACATTGTATTCGGTATCCTCGTTATGGTTTGTTACATAGACTTATACATATAGTTACTTTTCTTTTGGAATGAGGTACTTCACGCATGAACTCGTTAACCGAACCATGTGGGGGGTTTGTAATCTTCCTGATTGTGATCCACGAGTCAACACAACGCTTATTGTTGACTACTGTAGCCAACATGACTCGTTCTTTACCTCTCTCTGTAGATCTTCATTTTTTGTTATTCCTTCCAAACTCTTCACTTTTAATTGTTCTTTTCAAGATATATTCTCTGTTAGTAAGGCTTTTTAATTCTTCGTTGTTAATGTTGAGAACCAATTTTGAGCAATCTCCTTTGTCATGTATCAACAATGAGAAATTACAAATCTATACAAATAACTTCATACCCACTCAACAAGCTAGTGGGTATCAGGATTCAATAGCTTATTGCGTGACGCATCAACGTTTGAAATGATAGGTGCTAAGTTCGAGTTTCATTGTGTATACCAATACATAGGCGAAGATACACTGAACAGACGAATTGTAAATAGGACAAAACACACATCTTGGGTTCCGTTATTAACCAAAATCTATATTTTCTCTGTATCTGTTTTTTGCTATCGATTAATTTTTAGGCTTCCTACAACTCTACTACTTATTTGTTTTGTTATTAAAAGAAATGTTACGATTTTCTTTCAATTTTTTTTTCATTATTATGTACGATATGGCATTTACGATACAATAATGCTGACTATAAAACTTTTTTTATTTCACAGGTTGAAATCATGAGTCAGTTGAAGCTAGACCACCATTGAAAACCTGGAAGCACTGGTGGTCTAGCTTCAACTGACTCATGATTTCAACCTGTGAAATGTCTAAAACTCTCCACAAAACCCATTCTGACATTTTTTTATTGTTAGATGAAAGGAGTAACCTCCTTAAATCGCACTCATATTTGTTATACCATTACTTTTACGATTCTTAGTTTTTTCGTTAAAATACTTCACTTTTAGACTTATCTAAATGCTTTGGAACGTCATTGGGCTTGGTTATTACAATTAACTTATTGTTTTGAAGCACATATTGAACAGAGTGCACGATTTCAAAGTTTTTTCAATGATGTTGAACAATGTGAATTATTACTAACTACATCATTAGAAGAATTACGTTGTCTTTATGAATCAACGTTAAATGCAACAACAACTGAACAAGGTGAAACTCTTCTCAAACAATTACAAGTGAGTAGAAGTGAATAATTACTGTTTACGTAACAGACTTTATCATAGTCACTACTACAAATTATTGGATTTTGACTCATTTCTTAAATGAATCGATTGAAGTTTGCTTGTTCTATTTCCATACTAACTTTTTCTACTGAGGATTATTGTGGTGATCGATCACCAGAATTGACTAAATGTTCACCAATCAAGCTATTGACTAATTTTCATTCACCATTCAATAATCATAGTGAACTGTGTTCGGATATACGTTTGGAAAGAGCACGTTATGTTGGCCTAACAATGCATCCTCATTATAAACACATATCCTAACACTGTTATGTAGAATGGTTATTAAAAATTTAATGACAATCATTCAATAAAGCTTTAAAACATTTTTAAGGGACCCTTAACGATTTACGTAACTTGAAAATGCTTAAGAAAAATAGATCCCTTGGTGAAGCAAAAGTTTAAATTCAAATATGCTTATATATACCTGTGCAGATATATGATTTATCGTCCCGTTTTTCTTTAGAACTGATCAGCTGAGGAATCCATTGCTTCCTCTTTTTAGTTGTTTTATTTTCTTTAAAAAAAAATCCTTAAATGATTCCTGAAGCTATCACCCGACTGTCGAACATACAGTAAGTTAAACATATTTTTTTCAAACTAATACCCAAATCGTTCACAGGTTAATGCTTTATACAATTTAGTCACATTCTCATAGCTACAAAATTGATATTTTCTCATCATTTAAAATAAGAATACAGGCTTCGAGATTAATCTATCTTCTAAAGCTATATAATCAATAAGATTAATGTTGATTGACACATTGAAAACCAACTATCTAATTCAATAAAATTAACCGATTATCATTCATTTTCATGATTCTTTCTTTATAGTACTTTTGTAATTGATTGTACACAATGTTGATCATTGTTAATTCCTTTTATTGTCTAGTTTACAATACACCAATCATATTACATGTCAACTTAAACAATAATATTGATTATTTTAATTGTATAATGTAAATTGGTCACAGTTCAACAAGCGAAACAAAATAAAGTCAATATTCCATGATAACTTAGAAAAGATAGAACAATATGTGCTGAATAGTAAAATAATATGAATTAATTTTTTTTTATTTTATTAAATTCTCTCATCATTTGCTTACAATCTAAAGAATTTTAAAAAATAGAAAGATAGAAATGAAGTTTAGCATACTTTTTGCAATGAATTTGATCAGAATATGTTGTAAACATAATAGTTTAGTAACAATCTAAATTACATTTTCTTTTTTTAGCAAAGAAAAGTGTAAATAAAATGTTGCAAATGAGATATGATAGACGTAATACGACATTTTTTAAAACGATATTCAGTTATTACTACTGTTTTTGGATCTGAAAATGTATACATTTAATGATTGGTTATGTCGATTAGCTGTGTATGACTAAAGATAACCAGGATTGTGTTTAGGTCTGGTCGACTAAATTTGAATATAATAGTTTTAATTAAGTGTTTCTCTTAGTTAGAAAGTTATTACAAACCATGAAGTACTTGGTTACTGTTTCATCCTAATATGAGACTCTATAGTGTTCATTCACGACCCTATGTGGGGTCGAACCCAGGACACTTAAGTCATATAGTAATGTTCAATATCTAGAAGTACTGAACTGGCTTTCAATATCGAAATTACCAGTCTCAATAAATTCGTAATATATCGCAACGACCAGTCAATTCCATTTTTGTCAACTGTATTACTTCCTACAAGTCGGAACTCCATCATTCACTTGTTTAATTGATGATTATTTATATTTGTTGTTTTAATGACTGATTCAAACTCATATATTCTTCTGATATGAATTCTATTTTGAAGTATATTTTCCTATTAGGGGTACTGTTGAGTACATTGACTAATCATATCCATTTTTTATTATTGAATTCAGAAATGAGAATCACTTAAAACTGTATTTATTATACTACAGAAATTTTTAATAACTACTTGTCTTCAATTATAACATGATTTTGTTAGTGAATGTGTCAAAATAAAATTACTTATTCTAAAAAAAAAAATAATTTCAATCAGTCAACCAGTTTCATTTGTATACATAACAAATAATAAAAATGATATAAAATTGTAAATAATTATTATATTAAAATTTACTACTATTGGACTACTTAAGGAGAGAGGGAGAGAGAGCAATGAAAATAAAATGAATATGATCTATTGTTCCAGCGAGATCTTCAGGTCATCACCATTTCATATTATTTTAATTATCATTATCAATCTAAATTATTCTTTGTATCTACTATAGTTTGCATTTAGATACTAAATAAGGATAATAACTGAATAATCCAATAGGAGGAGTTAGTTAGTTTGCCCATATAAATGGGTTTCAGAATTAAAAACTGATGTAATATTGATTTTAAATATTATCTGTTTGTTTAATGATCTAAGCAACTAATGTATTAGCCGAAAAATAAGATTAGGCGCTCATATTAATGTTGCATCGTGATTTGAAACAATGAAATAGATCATCTCAATTTTTTAAATGGGATTAGTTATTGTTTTTCACTGCATCTATACAGTATCATTCATTAGTGAATTATTCGAATTTTAAGACAAATTGAATTTTCTATGAAACGCTTATTTCCCCCAAAAAATAATGAACAAATAACTTTTTTATCACTCTTGATCCATTTATCTCAGATGTTTCTCTTCTTTCTCCCTCTCTCTCTCAACACTATTCCACAGGAACTTCATACTCGTGTAATTGGTCAAGAGTCATTTATATTTCAATTAGTAGACATAAGTCAAGAAATTATCCCACCAATACCAAGTCACGTGGATGCACGAGACAGTTCAACAACTTTGATTGGTCGACGTATACGTGTTCTATGCTCATTCCAACCGAAAGATTATTTCTCCGATAATCAATCCTATTCCGGTGATGTATCAATCGTTAATTCCGCTAATACAAGTCATTTATCAATTGCAAACGCAAGTATTAGTAGTATTATAGAGCCAATATTTTGGCCAGTCGGCAACAATACAGGTTATTTTGATAAAGGTGATTTTTTCATAATATTGGAAAATCCAGAAAATCATAAGCTTCAGGTAAGTTATTCAATTACATAATCTCACCTGATTACTCTTTTTTTCCTACAAGATACTAAATACATATTCTGATTCAGCATTAATGATCATATACATTTCGCTTCATATCACCTATGTCACGAAATGGGGACTATTAATTCGGATACTTCACTAATTCATTCTTCACGCTTAAAATTATAACTGATACAAATTCTCGATTTTTTTGCATTGTTTCACATTCTAAAGATAGAAGACATGTGTTCGCTACTATTACCATATTCATTTCAGTCTAAAATACCATAATTCCTCTTAGTGTTGTCTCAGTAAACTGTTTTACTGTCTGTATATCCGAATTGATCACTTGTCAAAAGAAAATTCAACCTCCATAGCTTCAGTCAATTCACAGTTGCTTTTATTATGATAGTATTGGAACTTAAAAGGTTATACATCATTAAATCGTAAAAGAGTAATTGAATATGAAAACTTTGTTTGCTGTAGTTAATCATCTCTACTACAATAATACGTTATTGTATATATAAATTAAATATTTTTATTGCTTTTTATCGTTCTGTTTTTATTCTCATTTATTTTGACTTATAAAACTGTCCAAACCGACGAAAGATAGTCTGTTTCTTCTAAATAGTATTTATATATAAATAAATTCTATTTTCTCCCTTTATGATTATATATATATATATATATATATATATATATATATATATATATATTCATCTGTTTATCTTTTCTTTCTCATTTAATAGGTTCGTACAGCTAATGGATCTACACTAACTGTTCCCTTGACATGTTTTCTGCCTTGTTGGCCTAGTAGCGAAGCGATGGATCGAGCTAAACGTATTATTACAACTTTACAACATTTTAAAACATGTTGGTCTGAATTGAATTTACGAATACATGGACATTTATTAACTGTAACAATGTCTAAATTTATTGATGGTACACCTCTTCAGTATAATATTCCACAACAAATGGATATACGAAAAGTAAGATAAACTATTTTATGTCAATTATTTCATTAAAAAATATTTTGAATAACATCGTTTTGGAGTTGAAACAATTATTTGCTGAAATTTTAAACTTCACCCTTTCCATTCATTATTTATCTGGTCTTTATTTATGTGTTGGTAGCTTGGTGGTTATAGTAGTTGAATTACAGACACTACAGTCTCCATGTGATACTAAATTATTAGGATTCAAATTTTGCAGGAAGTATCAGTTTCCCGGAAATTGCGAGTACTCTTTCCTGACCAGTACCAACCATTACGATACCTAGACCCAGAACTTTCTGCCGATTCACTGACCACCTAACATTGCTTGGAGTGATTAGTTCCTCCTACATTTATTCACACCACGATACATAAGTAGAGTTTGATCGGACTGATTTTTTGTTACCTGTCACGACCACCATTTTGTCGTCGTTATTATATCACTAAGCAAAGTGAAAGAAGTGTAAGCGAGTTGCTTCCCTATTATTCTTGATTACTGAGATGCTATTGATTAGTGGGTGGGTTTGTTGTGATATTGATAAATGTTTATGTGTGTTTTTTAATTGCCATTGTTGTTACGAAAGTACGTACTTATTTTATTGATAAGAAAAAATAATAATTTATCACTTAAATTCATTTTTTACAATTCACTAGTCATTTCTTTCTCACTTCAATTTGTTTCATTGCTTACAGTCTGCTTTGTAGTAAATTAGGTCAACTTCATGTGTTTATATCAGTGTATACATTAGACCTGGGAGGAACCAATAATTATTAAACTACAGAAATACTTCACGTTAACTATTACTTCTTTTTTTTCAAAATTAAAACTATCTCCACATGGTAACAATAATCCTGCCCTCAATAAGTGACTGATTTCGATAGAGTCCCCGGGGTCCCAATGAGAATCTATAACTAGTGGGGTTTAACCATTTCACATGTCAGGCATTAATGACATTGGTAGATAGTTGAAGATTTTTTGCGGATCAATCAAAATGAGACATGTGAACCACTCGATGACGACTCAGTTGCCTATAGTTTAAGCTTTCGCCTTTAGAATTAAGGGTTCTGAGTTTCATCGTAGGTAAGGTTTTGAATATGTACTGCTTAGGTGTCCTGTACTAATACTAAACAGCTATTCAGTGCTTTCTATTTTTCTCTGCTTGTTCTACTAAGATCAGTTTCTAATTTTCACTATCGAGAGTGCATACTGAACACTTATGTATAATATGTATAAACGGCTTCCTTCAAGTAAATTATTTTTTGATGTAATCAGTTGTCTAGTGTTAAAATTGCACGAACAATACTTTTTACCACTAAACTTTTGAACTACTGTAGAGAAATAATAATGGAAGAGCCCTTGTGTGTATGTCGACATGCTCACCTGAAGGTCATGAGTCTAATTCCGTTCAAGGTATTGTAAAATCTCAAAAAGAAGACATATTAATTGTCTTTTGCTCCCCTCGTTATCATCAATTCGTTGGTTAGTAAAAATTGCCTTCAAAAAATTCTATTTAATTAAAAAATGGTACATTTTTTTGATTAAATGGGAATTTTTTCTTATAATTAAACTAGGTCTATTAAAATTACGGTAATTTACGGGTCGAAACAAAGAAATATGTAAATTAGGTGTTTTGAACTACTGAATGTCAAGATGGTTCATTTTTAAGAATTGATTATAACTCTGACTTTAAATTAATGGATCTCTGTTGGTGACCTTTCACTTTTCAGTATCATTGCATTCCTTGCAATATGCGAACGCTTCGTAATCGACACCTACTTTTATTGGCTACTTTGTACTGTATGCATAATTTTAAATTAATAAAATAAGTTGGAATTATGCAAACAGGCAATAAAATGTCTTCTTTTGAACCATGAAATCTTTCGTTTCGTTATCTCTTTTATTCATATAAAGTTATCATCTTTGAAATGTCATTTTGTGTTAGTCGTAACATCTAATTACCAATAAAACAAAATATAACACTAATTAAGAATTAAATACATTATTCGTAAAATTCTAAACACTCAATAGATTAAATTCACTTGGTATTGTTTACTTGGATCTTCCTATTGGTGTTTTGGACTGCAATTGATCTGCCTTTTATTGGCATATATACACATTGTATTGATATTGCCTTAATTCTAGTCCAGGACTGAACAACTCGGATGCAGATACATCCAGCTGACGAATCCCAAATAGGGCAAAACGCGCGTTCTGGATCCTACTGCTAGCCACTATCCATCTTTGCTTATAACCCAATAGAGTGGTTTAGAAAATAGGATTAATAAGTTTCATTTTCGAGTCACATTGAAAATACCATCACTTATTCGGCTATAGGTGTACTCAGTTAACACGAGTATCATATTAAAACAAAATGGCTTATTTATGCAACAGTATTTTAGGCTGTTGGTCAATAATATTGAAGTTTCTTTCATTGAAATTTCCAGTCACATTGTTAGGACATGTGATATAAACAATCCTATTATAATAGTGTGTTTATTGTTGAACTTATCAGTGTGAAGGATACAGCGATTTTGTTTCATTATGATTTAAGATTGGTTAAACCTTCAAGTAAATACTTATCATTTAACTAAACTACAATTCTTCACAATCACAGATCAGCTATTGTTTTTGTTTATATTCATATGTCTCAGTTAAATATAAAGTACTAAGTTAAAAACAGTTGTTATCGATTATTCATGTGTTATTCTATGTAATTCGTTCGTTATTATCGTGTCACTTCACTCAGTTATATCAATAACCTACATTCTGTTATTGGCTTCTATTATCAATGAATATAATGATACTCATATATTTTAAAATTAATAACACTATATCTTCACATGAATCACTTATTACTATTATTATTACTATTATTATTATTATTATTATTTAATAGTTCCCCTGTTTCCTATATCTCACATTCTGTATGTACCGCTTCTGCATTACTTACCATTATTGGTAAAACCACATGATTATGTTTAACGCGAAGTTTTTTTGGTGTGTAACCCTTTATCTTTCATATCATGTAAAGTCTTAACTAAAAGAATTTGAATTTTAAAGAAAAGAATAATTCACATGCACATTTACACTTATATCCATCCAGCTGTGATGTTCATGTTTTAATTTTCATTCGTTATTCTATTATGTTGTTGTGTTATTATGTTATTCCAAATACTGATTATGAAATAATTCTACAATAATCTGGTACTTATGTTATGATTTAATTTGAGATGGGTTTCCTCAGGTTTTAATTAAAAGCTTGTAACCAGCAGATTAACCAAGCTAGGAACTAGGTAGACATTTTTCGTTGAAACGAAACTGAAAAATGCAGACCATTCGATTCATTGGTTGAGAGCTATTGTTCTTATCGCAAGACTTGATAAGTACAAACTACTATCGAGTTTCATCCCAAAATAAAATATATATCTAATATCTCTTAGTGTCTTAATTCGTTATGTAATTGATATCAGTTCATAAAGCTTTCAATTCGTGCTTTCTATGTAGACTATCAAGTGCTGAGTCAAAAATATACTTCATGTAGAACAGAAAAATTGATTAGAACAACACATATAAGCGAACAATTGTTTTCAATTAGATCGTCATCAGGCTTTACTCTAATATACATGAATATATGTATATTAGAGTAAAGCCTGATGACGATCTAATTGAAAACAATTGTTCGCTTATATGTGTTGTTCTAATTTTCACAATGGGAATCTTTAATATTCTAGAAAAATTGATAACAATCCTTAATCCTCACCCCGCCCAAAAAAAAGATGGTCAGATTTCTTGATAAGACTAAATATTTTTCAGAATGATAGTGATTTTACCGCATAATTAACTTTGTATCTGATTTTCTTTAAAATATTTGTAGAATTTTATGAAATCTTATTCTGAATGATACTTAACACGACAAATGTTTAAATCAGTCATAAACCCTTTTATACAAAATAGATGGAATATGGACATAATTGAAATCAAGACATCTGTCTCGTCGTATTTGGGACTTGTCAGTTAAATGTACCTGCATCCTATAGTCACGATTCTCTCGGAGACTCGAACCCATTGTCATTTTCTTCGAACCCCACCATATTATCCACTTAGCTACAGAGTTCAGATACCCACTTACTTGTGCAGCGCGTCAAAATATCAACGACAGGACAATCCAAATCGCTAGAAATTAAAGTCATTTACTCTGTTGACATGACTCCTATTGGAATCAGTATAAATCTGGATTATTTAATATTGATAAACTTAATTACTAATTGTACATTTTCACTCACTCATTGTCTCATGCTGTTGTGTGAAATTCCAATTTTGTTATTTCGCCTTAAAGTTGTGCAGTAGTTGCTTTTTCTCCAAGTAAGCCAAAGATCCTGTTATCTGATGTTTTCTAGCTAAGAATTCCAATTTACTACATACACAACTGTTCATATTAATCGGCCATTCCCAATCGTATTTTTTCCAATGATGCTTTCATTTCTGTGTCCATATAATTGTGTTTTAATGTAATAGAAATTTTTCAGCTTTCTTTTAAAATTGATCTCATTATCTAATGAAAAACTATAGTGGAAATTACTGAATTCTCTTCCAAAATACATTGTAAGTGAACCTGTTTATCCTTTTCATATGTTGACGTTTTTTATTCAGGTAATTTATCGTGATGCTGAACGTTATTGTTTAGAATTGCAACTAGCTAATGTACCAGAGACAGAAGTGGAGAAATTTAAGCAACGTTTTCTAGATTTTCAAAATAGTTGCATTAAACAGGTGAATGGTGTTCAAACTACTGATGACAAGACTGGTAATGAAGGTTTATTGACCAAATCATCAGAAATTTATTCAATTATCGATGAACTGAGAACAGTGTTGAGTACGTTGACAGTACGTCTTAGGGAGTCGAATTCAATACCCTTACCAGGTAGATCAATAGATATGGAAGTTCGTATTAAAGATCACAAGGTCAGTCTGTTTTTTTACCACTTTCATTAGCTTTAATTATTTCTTTAACTTGGAGGTTTATAATTAGCGTTTTGCTGAATGAATACTGAATAACAAATGTCGACGAAGATTGATAGCTTTATCAACTATTAACACAGTAATTATAATTACTTAGTGGTTCCATTGTGTATGATCAACGCTTTTAAGGCATTTGACTGTATATTTCCAGCCTATATTTGAACACAATAAACAATAATACAAAAGTTAAAACATTCGGCTTTCAATCAGTAGATTAATAGTTCAAACTTCTGTCTATGTAGTACATATGTCATCTGTGTGATATCACTAGTCATTTAAAAAAAACACATCGTGATTCAAAGCCAACTACACAAACATGTACTTGGTCGAAAAGAGAAATGTACTAAATACTTGAACTAAAATAATTTAGATGCAAAATTATGTTAAACCTACTTCATATTACATTTTTCTACAAAATATCTAACCTGTATTTTGTTACGAAAATATATTTGTATTCTTACCTAATTTGTTAAATAATTGATATACTTGAAATTTGGAAAAAATAATAATAATAAAATGTATAATTTTAAATTAAATATTTCTCATCATGAGAGTATTTTTGTATAAAGAAAAATGAAAGAATTTTGTTTTTATGTACTTTTCTCTTGTAGAGTTTTTTCTTCTCACTGTGTTGTTATGTGTATTATAAAATACTCTGTTATTTAATTAATTATATGTGAATAAATAAAACTCAAGTTATTGAGATCATGAGGAAACCTAGGTTAGAAAACCATTGAAAACCAAGATGCACTGAACAGGTATTTTCTCCTAAAATGAAACTTTTTCAGAAGTGCGCATCGATGACCCCACTGTGTATTGAATCCAGGACGTACAGTTTGTCGGTCAGTACAATCTCTAGAACTGCATACCGTAAATCTGTGTTGTTAAGAAAAAATAACTCTCGTTATCTCGATTTTCAAGCATCTGTGTACATAAATGAATTTCCTCTATATCTCTTCTATATTATATTTGAATAATTAAACAAAGTATTCACTTTATTAAATTCCTATCCAATTATCTGTGTGTTTACATAATGCATTACGGCTGTCGTTTTCATGCATTCTACTTGATAGCACTCAGTAACCGATTTCAGATTAATTTACATGATTTTTCTTCACATTACACTATTTTGTGTGAGTGAGGGCCATCTGAACTTACAACCAACTGGTTGCAAGTCCAATGATTTACTTATACATTCATTACTTCACGATTTAATTAATAAATTGTAGATAAGTCATTGAGCTTATGTTTTATATACATGTGGAATCTCACAAAATCTCCAAATATATGAGCAACTGGAAAGAAGATACAGTCGATCATTGATATATTATTATCTTTAAAACTACGGAATATTTAAATGATTAGGTAATTTTTGTTAGTTAATTTCCCAGTTACATATTCGTATACTGAGTCTCCAGCTACTTCATGAATGTGTAGGGTAATGATACCACCCTGCTACCCAGACTGAAGTAGATGGGATAGAGTTCGAATCTGCAACTTATTGCTTGAAAGTCGAACTCCTTAACCATTGACACATCCCTTCTATCAGGTAGTGCTTAGAGAAAATGTTATTTTGGATGAGTTGATCGCAATATCTTGAGATGTATTTCATATTGAGTGGTTAAAGGCGTGCGATCTCTCAGGCTGTATTGAATTTATTTAATATATGAACTTCATCTGAAGTAAAGGATTACACAAGATTGGTGTTGTATGATAAATAATTTAAATGTAAGATTTAACCCAGGTTGGATAGATTTTCCTTTTCATTACCATGTGGAAAATCCTTCTTATCTTTCAAATATTTAACTGTTTTTCTCCCAATATTCATATGGTATAATAGACCTTGTACTTTTGATTTGTTAACTTGCCATATAAAACTTCCTTTAAGAAATTTGGAGGTTAAACTTTATACTACTTATTATTGGTGAATAACGTATTCTAAGAAATCCGATGTTGTTTGTGTATGTGAAAATTAATTTGATTTATTCATTTTAATTTATCACATAGATAAAATTACATTATTTCTTTTATGTAACAACAAATCATGCATGAACGATAGTGAAAAAAAAAACTAACAGTAATCCGTATTTCATTACTTATTGTAAGCTATCAACCCCTATATTCTATCCACTGACATGAGAGTAGATTGGTCATTATGTTTTGGAATTCATCCATTTTAAATTAGGTTTGCCCAATTTATTTCAAGAACTAGACTTAGATAGATAACCAGTGAACTTTAACCATGGTGTATGTAAGACATTTATTTACCAAATCATTGATAGATGGTTGGGTAATATCTCGAAATATAAAGTATTGAATTCTCACTAATGGTCTAAAGACCAAGCAATTGCTAAGAGACTTGATGGACGTGACTTGCATTCTTGCTAGGACCATATGATCAAGTTTGTGACGAGCCCCATATTGGAAAACAGTTGTCCATTCCTACCGATTTTCATTGATTATTTGACTGATTTCAGTCTGTGACATAACCTATGACATTCAGCAATCTCCATAGACACTTCACACAAATTATTTTTCACCAATTAAGAAGTTATTATTTAACTAGTTTTAACATATCGTTTCACTTCTTTTTTTTCTAATAACAAAAAACAATTATGCCATAGGAATGGTCTCATGCTTTAGCTCGTGTTCGTGCTCAATGTACAGGATTAGAAGAACATATCAATAGTCAGTTACAGTCACGATCATTGAATGAACAAGATACACTGTTGAGTACAAGTCTTTATGCTCTACATAGAGCAGCTAGTGAACTAGCACTAACTGGTCATGAATTTTCTTGTCGATTAGCTGATGCTGACGCATGGATCGCCCGTTTAGAACAAACTGATCAAATATTAACGGATTGTGAATTATGTCTACTAGGTTGTGCAGTACGTGTACATGGTCTATTACAACTTGATGATTTGAATAGTTCAACTGATCCAGATGGTCTTCGTGTTACAGTGGTGGAAAGAGCTCATCGAGATTTAAAGGTGCGTTTCATCATAAAATTTTATTGGTATTTTGTGTAGTTATTTGACAAATATTCATCACAAAATGTTTCGATTAATAAATAATTAGAACAACATATTTTAGAGAATAATATTGGTTTCATTTAGATCGTCATCAATCTTTACTCTAATATACAGTAATAGTTATTCCGACACATGAAAATATGAGACCAACCAAACTATAATGGCCGTACTACTAGATAAATCAGCCAATTAGTTTGCAAGCATCTCTCGTAGTTTGCTGAATCAGTTAAAATTTCATACCCAGTTGCGTACTACCACACTTGTTCCCATAGTGATTACGTGCTCGACAGAATCGAAGCATTCAAAGTGATTTGCGTTCAAGTTTCGACCTTGTCTTTGACATATAGTACAAGATACAGTGTTTCGAGCTAACAAACGTAGTGTGTGTATCTAAAAGGATCTTGTAATACCCCTGTCGCTGTGTTGTTCAGAGAAAATGTAATGGGCGATCTTATTAATTCTTTCTACCCTGTGTTTCTCTTCACGTTTTACGCATCTCTTCGTCACTACGTATGTATTTAAAACTGAACAATCAATTTGCACTTTTTATTTCTTTGATGAATTGTGTAATATATCTGATTGAAAACAATACTGTTTGCTGATGTGTGGTTTTGCACGATGAAAATTTTTAATAGTTTACTGTATAATTGTTTACGTGAAAACAGTTAATATAATCCGATTTTATTTAAATTCATCAAGTACATCAACTCAGGAACTCTACCAATGAACATGTTTCCCTCATAAAATAATCATTTAGTCATGTAGCCTGACGTATTAAAAATGCCATATATGAGAACGGTCTTAATTAATTAAATTTTTTCACCGGTTGCAATAGTTTATTATAATTGTAGACAGTCATGCTTGTTTTATATGTGCTTGTGGTAACTAGTCCGGGAACTTACTCAAACTGTAGATATACTTGTTTCCCTTTTATTAATCACACTACGAAGCTGAAATCCAAGAAATAACTAGATTTATGGATAATAAGTATGTTGACTGTTAGGTGATCTGCTTAGGGAAACATTTATCTAACTTTATTATTATTATTATTATTATTATTATTATTATTATTATTTTAGTCGGTAGCTGAGCGTCTTCCTCAAATTCGAACTGATCTAGATTTACTTAGTCAACAATTAACTAGATTTATGGTTTCCAATGAGGCATTTAATGAAACACTCCAGTATGATACTGCTAACTTATGTGAAAATTCAAACCTGTTAAAGATGCATTTATCACCTTGTACTGATAATCATTATTTAGAATCAAATCTTGCTTGTTCTGAACATCGTCTAGCTGAAGCAACTAAAGAAGTTGAACAAGAGTGAGTGAATATTTGTGTAATTTTCAAGTGTTTTTTGGGGTATTAAAATCATGTTTTTCATGATATCTACTATGACATCTATGACATCAGATAATAAATTATATTCGTAATAACCTCCGAAATTGGAATCTAGATAGTTTCAACATTTCATTTGGTCATGTTGGGTCGGCGGAATAATAGTAAAATGCCTGTTTACTTACTTACGATTGTTACCTCCTCGTGGAGGAGCATAGGACACCCACCAGCACTCCCTATCCAATTCTTTCCAGTTACTATTCATCCTTTTCATGTCTGCTTCTAATTCTAGGTTCAGTATGTTCTTCGACCTTCCTCTTTTCCGTTTCCCTTCAGGATTCCAGGTTAGCGCTTGCCTCGTGATGCAGTTTGGTGATTCCTGTAATGTATGTCCTATCCACTTCCAACGTCTTTTCCTAATTTCCTCTTCAGCTAGAAACTGGTTTGTCCTCTCCCACAGTAGGCTGTTGCTTGCCTGTGGTTCAAGTTTATTACTCATACCCACTCACACCTTCCCTCTTTGGACTCCTTAAACCTGTCTTCCAATAATATTGATATATTTATAAGTGGTATGATCAACTTTCATCATTTTAAGATGAATAAAAAGCCAATAATTTGTAAAGTGATTACTATTTTAATAACAGTGAGCTTTAGTAATTACTCTATCACTAGTTTAGATTTAATTTGGAATCCAGTTTAAGACAGATAACTTGTTTCGCAGTATACTATATAGCTGTATATTCTGGCGGGAAAAATTCGGCCTAGATACATTGAGCCTATATCTCGATAACATTTAAACTGATCACTACCCTTTTTAAGTATTCACTGGTATACCTTTAAAAATTTGTCGTTAGGGTTAGTGAAAACAACCACGGTCGCTATAATTTCACTCGGGCCGGTTAGAGCATTGGATAAATTTAAGGACATACCTACACACATCCAATTTTATTCTATCCTCATCTGTACACCAATCAAAATGCCGTAGACCATGACTACTTTTCTCATACACTATCTGGTTTTTTCGGGAATCAAGTAATCGAAGACTTTTGATTGGTCAGGAGGAATCAACTTCATTTGTGTGCATATATTTTCTGTCGGTCAAATGATTAGTATGTTTGATTGATAAAATATACATAAAACCACTTAATTATTTGAATAAAATCGAGAGCTTATTATTCACTTGGTGAGCTTATTATGTTTTGATTGGTTGAATAATTTCTGAAATTCTGTTTCCTTCTGTACGTTTCACAGATATCTGTCTGTCAGTATAAACTTTTTTCATAAAAATTAGTTTATCATAAGTGTAGTTGTAGGCTTGTGTGATAGTTATTTTTTGTGTTTAGAAAATTTTTCATGATCGGTAAATCGAATAAATTCAGACTGATCACACTATGCCTACGGCAAGTGGATTAACTCTATCTAATCAAGATGATCGCCCATAGATTTTTTTTATCTGGATCAGTCTAGTCAACTAAAAGTACGCATACAACTGTAAATGTTATCATTGACTATGCAGCTAGCTGCCACCTACGCAACTTTTATTTTCACCCTCTGTATTGTTGGCTTGGTCAAGTGTTAGAAATAGGCATAACAGATTAATTGGACCGATAAATTTAAAATCGTTAAGGGTTCATAAAATTTATGTCGGTTTATTGGCATGTAAATTAAATTACAGACAACATTGAATATTCACATTTCGATTTGTATTACTGAAACATTTCCTCTTTTGTTAGTGGAGGAAACTGCAGTTTATCAATATGAAGCAGAAATATATTGACCGTACACCAAAGCTTAATAAGGCTTATAAATATGTTAGAGATGCCTTACATACTGCATATCTCCAGACCTCATACTGATTGGTATAGGAGAAAGTAAAAAAAACTAAGGCATAGTGGTTAGCCCTGAACATGGTATTAAACCATGAGATATGATAAAGTACAAACTGGAAATTTGGAGTTCGTGCAGTTAACAGTGATCAGTGTCTTTAGACCTTAGGTGATATTACTGATAATTGGTTGTAGACAATGTAGACACATTCATTCCCTTTCTTATCCTAAATCTTGAATTTAAATATTATTTCATACTTTTTATTGTTTTATTTTATTCCTATCTTCAAAACATATTGGCTATCTTTGATCCTTCTTATTATCATTATTATTAAAACTATTCGAATTCATTTTCTGTTCATCTTGTTCAGTTAATCTCACTGAGCTAATTTGATATGGTAATTCAGATTGATGTTATCTGCACGAGATCCTTCATTGTTTATGAACTGACTGATGAATGTTACTAGGATCATATTTAAGAGGAAAGTACACTTAATAAATTACGTAGTCGATATGTGTAAAATAAATATCCGCCTCTCCAAAAAAATTTATATTTTGAAGCAGAGATGTGTGATAGATAACAGTGGAATCTGCTTATAATCCTTGTGAATTAGTGATATCGTTGCGATCCTCACGGGATACACATATACCAAAAGAGACTGACCAATTGCAATTTTAAACATCATTGAGAAGATCCGAACAACCAGTATATATGAATTAAATTTATGAATTGTTTCTGATTGAGATGAAAACATGATTAGTGAACTACGAGCATGGAAAGCATCTCCTTAGAATTACTTCTACATAATTTTTAACGAAACTCAACTATTACAATGTAACAAAAAGTAATATCTTTAGAATTAGTTCTTAACCTATTGACCATAGGCTAACACGTTCGGTGGGAAATACTAAAATATCTCTGTAATGTAATTTATATACCAATTAGTACTTGAAGTAGTTGACTTTATGCAATATAACTTGTCTGAAGGACAGTTACATCAAAAGGTTATCCAAATAAAAGTAGATTTTTCGAGTTTGAACCTTCAACTTATGATTTAATGACCAAGAACTTTAACTACTAAATTGTTTCTTTTTATCTAAAATATTACTTCCCTGTAAGTGTTCTTCTCTTGGTTGATTGGATTATGTAGACGTCCACATCTCAGAGGTAGCATGGACAGCTTGGATTTGGCTAGATGATTTGGACTTCTCAAATGATCTAGCTCTTCTATCCCATATACAGGAATATATACAAACTAATTCAGACAGTGTAGTAGCAGCCTCTGCAACAGTAGACCTCAGCATACACAAGGGAAAAGCAAGATCCTCAAATACAACTCAGAGAGCATCAATCCAATCACAGTTGGCGGAGAAACTCTGGAAGATTTGGAAAATTTCACGTACCTGGACAGCATCATCGGAGAACGAGAAGAATCCGATGCAAACGTAAAGACCAAAATGGCAAAGTAAGGACAGCATTTGTAGAGTTGAAGAACATATGGAACTCAAAATAATTGTCAACCACTACCAAAGTGAGGATCTTCAATACGAATGTCAAGACAGTTCTACTGTATAAAGCTAAATCTTGAAGAACTACTACAACCAGAATCAAAAATGCACAGGTATTGATAACCAAATGTTTACGCAAGATACTCCAAATCCATTGGCCGGATGCCATCAACCTGCTGAAGGAAAGAACAAACCAGCTTCCATCTGAAGAGAAATTCAGGAAAAGATACTGGGGGTGTATAGAGCATACATCACAGAAATCATCAGACTGCAACACGAGCCAAGCTCTAATATGAAATCCTGAAAGGAAAAGGAAAATGGAAAAATAAATGAACACATTGCATCGGGAATTAGACATACATCAAAAGAACGAATAGCAATTTAAAACAATTGGAAAGAATTGCCCAGGGCAGAGTTGGGTGGAGAATTTTGGTGGGTAGCTTGTGCTTCTCCACGAGGGGTAACAGGTATAAGGTAGTGAGTAAGTTAATAAGTATAAGGGTATGGAAAAGAAGAAATCAAACCATTATTATCTAAGCACTGATAAACTTGTAAAAATATAATAAAAACATTCATAATGAAATTTCAACTTCATTGTTTCTTATTGAACAAGAGGTTTCATAGTTATTGAAGGGAAGGATATGTGAAATTTTTTGGGCCACAATTAAATTTCCTATCACTTGAGAAATAAATCACAATAAGAACAATAATTTTCCTTGTTATTTGTAACAAAATTTATTCACTACTTATTATTAATTATTAGTATATGGAGGGGGGTTTAGATATTGTTGAATTTCATTGTTTTCACATTGAAAATCAGCTATTCAGATCGTTTCCTGGTTTTCAATGATTGTCTAACTAGGATCAGTTTGTTATGTAAACTGCAAAAGTTTTAGTAAATTGACAATCCTTTTGATTTCTTAGTTATCAAAATCCCTTTTTTATGTATATTCGGTATGTTGGATCGGTCGGTGTACATTATTATTATTATTATTATTATTATTATTATTATTATTATTATTATTATTATTATTATTATTATTATTATTATTATTATTATTATTATTATTATTATTATTATTATTATTATTATTATTATTATTATTATTATTATTATTATTATTATTATTATTATTATTATTATTATTATTATTATTATTATTATTATTATTATTATTATTATTATTATTATTATTATTATTATTATTATTATTATTATTATTATTATATTATTATTATTATTATTATTATTATTATTATTATTATTATTATTATTATTATTATTATTATTATTATTATTATATTATTATTATTATTATTATTATTATTATTATTATTATTATTATTATTATTATTATTATTATTATTATTATTATTATTATTATTATTATTATTATTATTATTATTATTATTATTATTATTATTATTATTATTATTATTATTATTATTATTATTATTATTATTATTATTATTATTATTATTATTATTATTATTATTATTATTATTATTATTATTATTATTATTATTATTATTATTATTATTATTATTATTATTATTATTATTATTATTATTATTATTATTATTATTATTATTATTATTATTATTATTATTATTATTATTATTATTATTATTATTATTATTATTATTATTATTATTATTATTATTATTATTATTATTATTATTATTATTATTATTATTATTATTATTATTATTATTATTATTATTATTATTATTATTATTATTATTATTATTATTATTATTATTATTATTATTATTATTATTATTATTATTATTATTATTATTATTATTATTATTATTATTATTATTATTATTATTATTATTATTATTATTATTATTATTATTATTATTATTATTATTATTATTATTATATTATTATTATTATTATTATTATTATTATTATTATTATTATTATTATTATTATTATTATTATTATTATTATTATTATTATTATTATTATTATTATTATTATTATTATTATTATTATTATTATTATTATTATTATTATTATATTATTATTATTATTATTATTATTATTATTATTATTATTATTATTATTATTATTATTATTATTATTATTATTATTATTATTATTATTATTATTATTATTATTATTATTATTATTATTATTATTATTATTATTATTATTATTATTATTATTATTATTATTATTATTATTATTATTATTATTATTATTATTATTATTATTATTATTATTATTATTATTATTATTATTATTATTATTATTATTATTATTAAAGGCATTCGTAATCACTGGAATGAGTGTCCAAATTGTAGTTCAAAAAAATTCTAAGGTTATATCAGTGATCTAACAACTTAAGCAAACCAATATTATCGATAAACAGAACCGTAATGATTCTTCACTAAGGGCCAGTATTGACATTTTTCACTAAGCAAAATAAGCGTCCATCTACTTGAGACTGACAATCTCGCTTCGTTTATCTTTGTAATAGTTGTTTTTTTTTATCGAAATGACACTATCCATCTGTCTAACTACAAATTCTACAGTGAAGATGTTTGTAATCGACATAGCTTTATTAGTAGTTGACGTTATGATGGGAGATAGAAAACTCGATTATTGTCAGATAATCTATCATGAGTAAAAATTTTTTTGTTAGACACATGAAACCCAGGTTGTGTGAAGATGTCTGTCTATCGGATCTTCACAAAACCAACAAAATTTTGTGATTTATTTGAATCTTTTTTCATGTTAACAGACTCAAATCATTTGGTGAATCACTGATCTGTTTCTCAAACTATCAAAAGTTATCCAGTCAACTTATTGTGTGGTCAAATGAATTCTCTTCTCGTATGCGATTATTTGGTGAAATGACTCAGTCTTTAGGATTAAAATCATCCGATACAAATATGATTACTGTACAAAACCCTAGTTTATTAAAAGAAATTCTTAAACAGTCTGATGATTTACTAACAGATTTGCAAGTTAATTCAGATGTTATGGAACAATTGAATAAAGAAGTAGCTCATTTAATATCTTCATTAACTGTGAGTTATTTTGAGTCGTTTTTTCCATAATTATGACCAATAATCAAGAAAATGCTCATTGTTTAATCAGGTTTTTACATATATATATATATATATATATATATATATATATATATATATATATATATAACATCGCCCGTCTAGATGGGGGGGGGGGTGGATAAGCATACGTAACGTGTGTCCCAATCACCTCAGTTAATGATTTACTGCCTTACCAATGGAATTGCCATCTTTACCCAATACACCATCCCTAACCCAGCCATCGCTTGCTTGGTGGTCCCAAAATACACGAGCAGTGCTTCGAAGACACCTATGATCGAATACCCTCTACTCGTAATAGCCATGCTTCACTCAGTATGAAGTAGGACGGAGTAAGGTGATGCTCAGTAAACTCGTCATTTGGTTGACAGACGAATATATCACCAACGGTGCACGAGACACAAGTTGACAAAAGCTAACCAAACCTTCTGAATATGTATCGAGATTTCATCAAAAACCAAATCGTCAGTACTGATGAGACCCCCAAGATAAGTGAAGTGGTCGGTGCTGTTAACTACTTCATTCCCCATCATTGATTCAGGTGATAACCTGAGCCAATCCTGAAGTAACATTTTGTATTTGGAGGAGGAGGACCATATCTGTGTTGTTGCTAAAGGTGGTCAGAAAGCCTAGTATTTGTAGGATAGTATTTCTGTTTTAAGCTTTATTTAAACTACTAACCAGTAACATTATTCCTTCAATTCATTTAGTGTTCAGCTGTGTGTAGGTAGATGCAGACTACCAATTTGTAGTCTACTTGATTATCATAACTAATAGTTCGAAATGTCGGCTAATATAGCTTATAATCGTTTATTCATTCACTCTTTGTCTTCGATTGGATGCTAAGCTTCTCAATTATCTTAAATTTTTTTACCCCAGTAATTCATATTTTTCTGCATCATTCATATCTTTTATGATTAGTCTTTTGTACTACACCTAATACTGCTATTACTTATGCTACTCTGTCGTTCCTCTGTTCTGATTTCGTGTGGCAACTTAAACGAACACAAATATGTATTATTTTGCACGTTGTGTTTGATCGACCGACTGATCAGTTTTCAATCATCACTATGAATTCAATGTCTCTTCGAATCCTTCTACTAATCATCATCATCCTTACTAATAAAGTGTTACTTTAAAATTCATGACTATTTTGACTAAAAGAGATTCTTTCTATTAATTTCCTCATTTTTATAAATGTCTGTTTTATAGAATTATGCGCAACATACTCAAAATTATCGTGAATTAGTTGAGAGTGTGTTTCAGAAAGCTGGTGGTTCACGAGATTATCAATGGTCACCAGGATATGGTTTATTCGATATGGGTAGAGTATTACAAACAACTGATCAGCTGAATGAACAATTTAATACACATTCTCGTCGTATATATGATATAGTGAATTGTTTAAATCGGGTAATTTTTCTGTTCGGATAATAATAATAATAATAATAATAATAATAATCTGATCAGAATCGTAAGCACATATTTTGTTACTGTTTGATTTTAGTTGTCAGATGACTAATATTTGCGGATTTCAGTGTTCTTATTGAAATATTCTAAATAAAATAATGGTGTTTCCTGGTTATGCACTCATTTTTACCCTTTTGTAAAATTATGTTTATCAAATACTATTTATGATTTCACACGCCTGTTATTAATGACATTATACAGAACCTCGTATGAGTATGTATCAACTCACATTGCCGTATTTCATATCGCAAACCTGAAAGGACGAAAAGTGGTCTTTCGTCACGCAAACTGTATCACTGGATACGGAGCGTTCACCTAGGGGAGTTGGTAAACTCTGACTTCAAACCAATGGTATACATGGGCTCTAGGATCCCGAGGGAGTATAGATCTGTTTTTGGTCACTATCTGCCATAGAGCAACAGCTTCTGATGTTTATCCCCTACAGATTAGACGTTTAGGTCATAGTCTTTGGATGTGGGCCCCGAAGAAAAACAACTGGTTAGGTTTGGGCCGGTGGATAGTATCCCAGCTCACATACAAGTATTTTTCTATGACGCATACTGTTTTTGGTGCCTAGTTGTACCAGATTTTACGTCAGTTGAATAAATAAACTTCAGATCACCATAGAGAATAAAACAACTAACTGTTAAGACCTTTATGTTCAAGTTTCGCTCCATATACTTCAGTTTGGACATCTGAGTAGTATCACTAGCCTTCATTTACAAGTAGTGTGGCTGAAAGCCAAATGCACAAACTCTCATTAGTGAATTAGATTCTCTAAAAATATTCAATTAATCATATTTTGTAAGACACTTTTAGATATCTCTTACCTTAATACACCAGACTTTTTATTCCCATCTTACTGAAATAACACACATATGACCCTTTCGTTGTATATCTGACTATTTATGTGTACTGAGAATGAGAAAATTTTTGAGCGTAGAGGAGACAAGTCGATACTTCGAAAAATTCAAGTCTATTATTAGTAAAGGATGGACATACTTTCGTTTTCACGTAATTCCTTTTATTATTATTTTTCCCATCAGCTTCTGCGATCCGAAGAACCTATCTCTATGAATTTATCTGGTCCAATTTTTGTAAAGCCTTATCGTGAACTCTACGTAGGCAAATGGCCAAATGAATTAAACAATTGTTTAAAGGAAACTCAATCGTCTTTTTCTCCCTTGGTATCACGATCAAAGTATCAAGAAAATGGAAAAGACCACACATTACCATTAAAAGTTGCAAATAATTCAAAAGATAAAAACCATTCAGATTTATCGTATTTTAATCAACTAATCGGGGAAAAGGGACTCAAATATAGTGTATATCTTAATGATGTGCGAAGTCAACCGGTGTGTTTACTCCCAACTGGTTGGGAAGCAGCTACATTGACTACAATATCCAAAGCACGTGAATTATATGGACCAAAAATTTTTCCAACTACTGGTGCATGGTTTGTGACTAATTTAGCTGGTGAGAATGAAACATATGGACTCGGTGAAACTATTTGCTTAGGAGATGCACTACGATGTGGATTAATTGATTTAGTTGGGCATAACTGTCATCAAAATCGAAGTTCACTTGCCATTTCCTGGTCTGAAGCTATTGATCGTGGCTGGTTAACTGCCTATACTATTCAGGCTTTAAATAGAAATATAAAAATTGGTGATTATAGTGCATCTGTAACAGATTTTCTGACTAGTCCTTCGCGTAACCCTGTCGATCGTCATATCGACCCAAAGACTGGTGTAGTCATGCCATATGGCAAAAAAATTATTGATTTATACTCAGATGGATTCATAAATGAGGCAGATTTTCATCATTTAGCTTCTATTCTATCTAGTGGCATGTGTGTAGAATTTCGAGATTGTCACTTGACATGGTATGAAGCTTTAAGCATTGGTCAAGCAGATATATCTTGGAAACCTTGTCTATCTGATTGGTTAGCTGCTGGTGCGTACAATCCAAATACACGACGTTTACGTGTCAGTTTACTAAAGTCTGGAAAAGTTAATAGCAAAAGTAAAGCCTCGAATAATTCATTAGTGTTTACTGAAAATGAGTTAACAATCAGAGATGCAATTAAAAATGGACTTTTAGACAATACTGTCCCAGAAGTCATTCTACCTGTTGAAAACCAGGTGGGTGACTACCATGCTACCTCTTATAGACGTGTCAGTCTGTCTGAAGCTGTTCAAATAGGTCTTGTTGATGATGTATCTGGTTATTGGCTCGGATCAAGTTCATCTTCTAGTCGAACGAAGGTTGGTGTGGAAGTGGCTCAAGCTGCTGGCTTATTAACTAAAGCTCCTTGTCTAGCTGAAATTGTTTTATCTGGTCTAATATCGTTTACTGCTCCGAACATGAGTGAAAAACATCCTAGAAACAATGTGGGTATTCTTGATGCCCACACTGGTCAATACGTATTGTTTCCAGAAGCAATTAAACGTGGAATGATAGTTGGAAATCAACCAGCCATAATTCTTATGCAATCCCATCCCAATCAAGTATTGACTTTAATCGAAGCTCTGAATACAAACTTAATCACTCCGTCCGGATTTATAATTTTGGAAAATAAACCTATGAATTTGTGGGATGCAGTTAACAATAATTATATTCGACTTATATATACTAAATCGTATCCGCCGCCTGTAGGTTTATTACTGGCTGCTAAGGAATCAAATCAGACGCATTGTCAACATCCTATATTACAAGCTATTCTTACAGGACTAATTGATTCATCGAAAGAGGAGATTATTCTTTCTAGCACAGACCCACGTCAACACGGTACAAGCTCTTCGCAACAACGTATCTCTTTAAGAAAATCAGCTAAGCATTCAGGATTGTGTGACTTACACTCTATACAGTTATTAACTCATGGATGTGGATTATTCAATGAAGATGGTCGTGAGCTAACTGGTTTGGAAGCACTTAACTCTGGTTGGTTAAAACCATGTGAAGATTTTCAATTAGGTTCAACTATAACATATGGACAAATAACAGATCCTGTTAGTGGGTCGTCTATAATATTGTCGCCAAATATGAAGACAATGAAAAATATTGATATATCACCAGTTGGGGCTCAATTACTGTTAGGCTTATCTATCAATCGTCCTTCTTTGGCTTATTTAATTAATCAACGTTTTATAACACGTTTAGCATGGCTTGGTCCAGGTTTACATAATGATAATTTAATAAATAAAACACTGAATGATTCATGGTTCACACATAGCTGTCGGTCTGATGATATATTAGCTGTTATAGATCCAATTAGTAGACGTAAGATCACACAATCAGAAGCGATTCGCCGTCATCTACTGGACATGGAGACTGGTACATTTCGAGATCCTGTTCATAATCAAATCTATCCAATTAGTGAAGCAATAGAAAAAGGACATATTTTAGTGAAAGAAAAATCTCTTATGGTAAGTTATAACTTTTTATATGTTTTTTATCAACACATATGTCAGTATTTTTCATTTCAAGCTATCCATTTAAAATAAATTTGTTTAGAAATCTTTAAAAATAGAAATAATCTCCCTACATTTTGCAGTAGAAGACTAATTTATTGATAAATTGCTATTCATTGATACAAACTATCATAGAAGTATAAAGCTTCAATATATTTTTTCGCAGTGTAAATTATTTGCCCTGTTTAAAGAGAGCAAGAACAAAAATTGGTGCAGAATAATATGAATTCATTTTATTTCGTTAGGTTCTCATCAGCTGCTTACAACCTAAATTATTTAAAATTCAACATTAATACAGATATTGACATATTTATATATAAGAGTGTGATTAAGGATCAATACATGTGTATGATGATGTAGCGAATATTCCGATAGAGTTAATGAGTTCATAAAATGTTTGATTCGAATAAATAAATAAAGTTTGAGAGGGAAAGTTCCAGAACATTGAAATAGTGATTAGAACTCATGAAAATAGATTAATGGTAATAAAGAAAATATGAATTGAAATCAATCAGTTATGTATGATGTAATTTATATTTCAGAAAGAGTTACAATAATGACGTAATAAATAAATAAATAGGAGCAAATTAATAGAAAGAGTGGGGGTTATTGTTACCAGGGTAAAGAAAGATTTATTACTGTCTCTTTTTGTATACATAGATCTGGTTTTAAACGTTTGATTGCTAACGCTTCAGCGAATTTCAAAAGGTTCGAGTTTGATTGTTTGTTAATCACCTTGAAGGACTTCAGTATATCAGCTTTATGTCCTGTATCAAGGAGATGTCTGGCGATAGCACTGTTGAATGCGTTCAATCCATTTAACCTTAAACTTTTCGGAATATGTTCTTTGAATCGGACGTAGGCTCTCCTTTCTGTTCTACCAATGTAACTGCTTTGGCAGGTACATGTAAATTTGTATACACAGTTGGTGGTAACATGAAAGGGATACCTATCGACCTTTGATTGTGTCAAAGAGCATGTTGTTTTGGACAGGACAATCAATTTCGCTGCAGGATAAGTTCTTGTCAGTGCAGTTTTTAGTCTCATATTGATTGATCCTGTGACATCGTCACCTTTGAATTGAAGTTTAATAAAAATAGGCTTTTTATTTGCTGTAATTTCTTTCGGCTTTTTAACTTCACATTTGCCGTATTTCTCAATAAATTTCAGTGGGTATCCGTTATTCTTTAAACATTTTTTAACATTCATAACTTCCTCTTCTAGTGTATCGGAAGTACATATTCTTTCTGTTCTGTAAAACAGTGTTTTGACCAGTGCCTTTTTGTAACTGATTGGACAAAAGCTATTGAAATTAAGATAACTACCATTCCATGTGTCTTTCTTATAAACTGAACGTTGAACTGTACCATCTTTTCTTCTTTTCATCGCGATATCGAGAAAATGGAACTTGTTTTCTTTTTCATGTTCCATAGTGAAATGGATATTCGGATGTGCTTCATTGAAAAACTCTAGCAGATTTATTGCATGTTGTTTATTATTACATACGATGAAGGTATCATCAACATATCTCGAATAATACGTCATTTCATCAATCGCTCGTTTGAGTTTGGTTCTTTCGAGGTTAGCCATGAAAATATCTGCTAGGATAGGACCTAACGGACTTCCCATCGCTACACCATCGATTTGTTTGTATATGATGAAATGACGTATTATTCGAGATATGTTGATGATACCTTCATCGTATGTAATAATAAACAACATGCAATAAATCTGCTAGAGTTTTTCAATGAAGCACATCCGAATATCCATTTCACTATGGAACATGAAAAAGAAAACAAGTTCCATTTTCTCGATATCGCGATGAAAAGAAGAAAAGATGGTACAGTTCAACGTTCAGTTTATAAGAAAGACACATGGAATGGTAGTTATCTTAATTTCAATAGCTTTTGTCCAATCAGTTACAAAAAGGCACTGGTCAAAACACTGTTTTACAGAACAGAAAGAATATGTACTTCCGATACACTAGAAGAGGAAGTTATGAATGTTAAAAAATGTTTAAAGAATAACGGATACCCACTGAAATTTATTGAGAAATACGGCAAATGTGAAGTTAAAAAGCCGAAAGAAATTACAGCAAATAAAAAGCCTATTTTTATTAAACTTCAATTCAAAGGTGACGATGTCACAGGATCAATCAATATGAGACTAAAAACTGCACTGACAAGAACTTATCCTGCAGCGAAATTGATTGTCCTGTCCAAAACAACATGCTCTTTGACACAATCAAAGGTCGATAGGTATCCCTTTCATGTTACCACCAACTGTGTATACAAATTTACATGTACCTGCCAAAGCAGTTACATTGGTAGAACAGAAAGGAGAGCCTACGTCCGATTCAAAGAACATATTCCGAAAAGTTTAAGGTTAAATGGATTGAACGCATTCAACAGTGCTATCGCCAGACATCTCCTTGATACAGGACATAAAGCTGATATACTGAAGTCCTTCAAGGTGATTAACAAACAATCAAACTCGAACCTTTTGAAATTCGCTGAAGCGTTAGCAATCAAACGTTTAAAACCAGATCTATGTATACAAAAAGAGACAGTAATAAATCTTTCTTTACCCTGGTAACAATAACCCCCACTCTTTCTATTAATTTGCTCCTATTTATTTATTTATTACGTCATTATTGTAACTCTTTCTGAAATATAAATTACATCATACATAACTGATTGATTTCAATTCATATTTTCTTTATTACCATTAATCTATTTTCATGAGTTCTAATCACTATTTCAATGTTCTGGAACTTTCCCTCTCAAACTTTATTTATTTATTCGAATCAAACATTTTATGAACTCATTAACTCTATCGGAATATTCGCTACATCATCATACACATGTATTGATCCTTAATCACACTCTTATATATAAATATGTCAATATCTGTATTAATGTTGAATTTTAAATAATTTAGGTTGTAAGCAGCTGATGAGGACCTAACGAAATAAAATGAATTCATATTATTCTGCACCAATTTTTGTTCTTGCTCTCTTTAAAATAATAAAGGGAACTATGTGTATGAAATTGCCCTGTTTAATCTGATTCAGATGCAAAAACTTACTATGAAAAATAAGCTATTGAACACTATGTTTAGATTGTTGATTAGGTTCTTTGCATATGATGAGGGTCATCAACATGACCTTTCTCCCAGCATTGAATTCTAAAGTACTAGTGAGTTTTTGTAATATAACTATATATCACTAATGAAGTTTTACTTCGAGAAAATTAATGGGATTTTAATGATTTTTTAAATTTTAACGGAAAACTTATAATGAAATAAGCAAACATGCGGAATACTGATCTGTTAGTCGTTTGCTTTACACTTTATTAGTTACTTTCATACTCCCAATGATGTTATTTACTTTCTACAATTCTCTCATTAATTTATTTTCAAAGATGATCAATCACAGTATTTTGTAAAATACAACTGAATAGAGATGTATTATGAATCTTCTTTTTCTCATAGTTCAAACTGCTTCACTTAATTCTGTTCAATTAACCCTATTAATAGGAAGAAATAATGGTGTTTTGAAGAATGAGTTGAAACCATATACTGTGTATTTCTTTCCAATCACGAAAAAAATTAACCAATTTTTGAGTTTTGACGATTAAATGGATTGAAAAAAGACCAAATTTGCGTGATTCGATTACACTGAGATCGATTATGACGAAGTGTGCATTTGCAGTGGGGATTCGCTACATTTATAATGTGGATACTACGATAAATTCTTTCATGAAATTCATCTCAAGAGAACGTAGTAACAGCCCTATTTGTGGCTATAACCATTTGATTTCTAAGTATTGTCTTTCAACTCTTTATTATTAGTCAGTAATAATGGAAAAGTATTTAAGATAATTCATCTTCTGCGGTCATTAAGTCAATAACGATGGTTCATTTATTCTAAATAAGCAGAGGACAGTATTGACCCTTTAAAGTAGTTGAAAATAGAACATTGGATATGCTCTTAGGCTTAGTGCGTCAAAAATTATGTGTTTACACGTTTCTCAACGTTTAACCTATAGAAGAAACAGAATGAATATTCGTATCATTTGTATTAACAATGTAGTATCTACTTATTGTTGTTCACTAAATAACCTATTCTTATGACTGACATAGCCTAATAGAACACATCAATTCATCAAGCTTTGTTCTTACTTAAATTTTATTTGTCACTCCTACTTAACATAACCTTTTTACTTCAGTTTGACAATGTTATTGCTTTTGTTGACATGAATGATCATGTAACTCATTATTCTAATACATGTTTATGTACTCGATTTTGAGCTGTAGGGTTTTTTTGTGAGAGCTAACGTTACATTATTGTCGAAATTTAACTCGCGATCTACTGGTTTAAATGTAAATCCTTGAACCACTAAGTCACCGTTCCACATGAATATCAGTTGTTGTTTACCTATATTAAAGAGTCTTTAGGAAAAAAGTTCTCTCATAAGTGAACATAGTCTGTATATCATAATGGCCTTTTTTTTTAAATAAAAGGTGAAAACTTCATGTTTGTGTGTGGATATTCGATTCATCATTAGGATCGACGAAAAGTGTTGCCAAGTGATGTTTATCAATAAAATCTTGATTATCGACACAGCCACCCTTTCAAAGGATAGATGTCAAAAGACAAAATTACTATCGTATTTTATAACAAAATGATAAGTGTTTATAGAATGCTTAATCCAAAAATAAGGATGAATAAAGTTCACTTAAACATAAGTAATTGAATGAAATATGATTTGTAGTTCGCTCATTTAATATTGTGAGCATTATGTTTATGAGTATGATATGTAAAGTATAGTTACAGTTTTTAAAGCAGCTCGAATCGTTAACTAAGTGTTAGCGCGTAAACTTGGCTTGAAGCTACACTTTTCAGATGATAGCTACCTGCCTGTTTAAATCGACTTATGTAAGTTGGATTCGAACATGTGACCCAGTGTATCAATATAGAGTAATGTGAGTATCAAATCACTTTCATAAACCCGTCGTCCTTAACTAGTTATTACTACAATCCGTTATGAATATCAGTAGTTATTGTCATTAAACATCTTATCGTCAAGAAAGTTAACTTTAATTTTAACAGTAATTTAACCATGTATCTCAGGAATTGTTTATATTCAATAAAACCTGTGCTTAAGTATCTATATTAGTAGCTGATCTCGTCATACGTCAATTATTAACAGTTATCTTTTATCGGAGAATACGTCCATGGACACAGTGTTGTTCTGTATTACAAGCTATTGCATCTGTTTGCAATATTCTGTCTATTTATCTGGTAGATTCATTACGAGGCAAACTCATAGTTGTGTATAATCTGTCAGAAAATTGTGAAAATTTCAGAATAACAAACAGATACAACCACCAGAAAACTTCCATGTTTCACATTTGGGGAAACAAAGAGATCAGATAGGGGGGATTACTAATATAACATATTACAAGAATACAAGCAGAAAGAGGAAAACATCAATGTCTAATTCATCTACTTTGTTTTGATAAACTCGAAGTTCATAGAAGAATCCAAAATCATGATACGTCTGATTTGTATAGCCAGTTCATTCAGGTGGTGATGATATATTATTTTGCAATAAGACATAATAAAGTTTACATTGAACGACAGCTAAATACTCATTAATACGTTGAATAATGACAATGCAGATTAGGAAGTTTACTGTCTAACTTAATTATCCCAATACATCTTATGATTCTGGACAAAATATTATGATTTGTAATAAAGTTTATTTATCGAAATTATTCTAAAAAAATAAGAATAAACATGTAGGAGACTTTTTTTTAATGCAGTCTGTCGAGTCCAGAAAACAGTAGGCGTAAAAAATAATAAATATTTACGTTTCTTTTAAATGTATCAATGCTTCAATATTATGACATATTGGGAAGTCCGAAATTTCTGGGAGCAACTAGTTCACAATTTCTATAATAAAAGAGTCATGTCAGTATATGTGTAATATAAAATTCTAAGTTACAACAGTCAATTGAATAGTATGAGTATTTGAAAGAAGTGATAAGTTTTCACCTGGGACATAAATAAGAGCTATTTTCTGTGATATAATCTCAGTTATTAACAATACTAATAACACTGAACTTTTAGCTTACTGGTATTGAGTATTAAATAGAATATAGTTGTTTCTCTCCTTAGTCGGATTTATCTGTTTATGCTTAGTTTTATGTGTCCACTTTGTGTTAACCGCAAGAGAATAGTATTGAGTAGTAGCACAGATGCCTCTCGCTCATAGTTTATTCAAAACAACATTCTTCTTTACTTTCTTAAGTTAAATATCTTCAATTTGCACAATAATAGGTATTGTTTTCTCAACTAGTGAACCTAGTTTCTTTTGGTGGCTATTCAAATTTCCACAAATCGTTTTTCGTTTATTTGCTGGTATCGGTATTCTAGTGATTACTTTGTGATAATCGTTACAGTAGGCCTCTGCTCACTTAAATACGTGGTTACCCGTTTTTAAAAAAAACAAACTAATGATTCGTAAGCATAACCAAATCTTTTTATTTAAAGAAAATTGAGAGTGATTGGATGAAGTAGGTCTCGGTGATCTGCATCATGAATTCGTTCTGTATGAGACTTTTGTGGCCCTGTATCTGACTCCAGTTCGATCGTATGCTGATTGCTATTGAAATATTTATGCTACCAATCTTCCTATATAACTATCGACTAAAATCGGAATTAACCAAGTCGAATACGAGAATGAAGCTTGAATACGTATATTTCGTACAATCGTTGACCTGAACAAACAATCAGAGAGACGGAGTGAAGGAAGCGAAGAGGAGAGAGCGAAGCGAAACGGATCGGAGAAGTCTCTTTCGTAAAGATCTTTTAGTGACACATGATCTGACTCCAATTAGATCGTATGACCGATTGCTATTGACTTATACATGTAGCCAATCCTCACATTTAATTATCGACTTAACTCGCGTTAGTGAATAACGGAATTAAATAAGTCAAATACGAGAATGAATTTTTGAATTCGTTTATTTTGTAAAACCGTTGATTGGAAAGCGAAGCAAAATAAAATGATGCGTTAATCGATATTTATACTCAAACAAAAAACAAGTTACTGACATATGATGAGTAAAATAAGAAATTCACACACATACGATCATATAAAAAACGGTCAGGATTACTAAACCAATAAGTAACATGGCAAAAATGTGGCTCAAGTAGAATGAATAGATTGGTCTGTCCAGAGGCTAGAATAACCTATGAGCGCTAGACATAGTAACAGCCCATACAATACAATACTTTCATTTATCAAAATTGTGCAATATGAAGTTCGAAAAGATGCTTCATTGTTTAAGTAAGAATAACGAACATGTCTTATATTTTTAAAAGATAAGGACCAAAGTGTTGTTTCTGTCGTCTTGATATAATAAAGTTAGTCTAGAGTCTAAAGAATAAACAGCAGCTCTCAATCTTATCACAGATATTCCTCATTTTTAGATTCGATTGAATAGTTTAGTGAGAACTTTAAACACATTAAACTTCCTTTTATACTAATTACCCTACTCACCAAATTCTATTCGGATTATATATAGAATAAGCTTTATCAAAAGTCCTCATAAAAGCTTCCTACATTTGGAGGTATAAGCCTATTCATTGTAACAAATGACTTCAATATGAGACCAAAGAAACAAAGGTATTTAAGATTTGATTTTACAATCTAATAATGTTTTTGCTAATGCGAATACTACTATTTTAATTAGATTAGTCAAATATTATCACTTAAATCTTTTTGAATGAGAGTAGAAAACATACAGCTGTAAAAAGCAACCTTATTCATTCTAGGCCAACAATGCTAAATCGTCTTGAAAACATAATAATTTTGATCAGGCAGATGTGTTTTTGAGAGATATTTATCATATCTTTACTTTTTATATGCTTATGAATCTTGCATTTGGAACTTGATGGAACACAAAAGCATTTGAGACATAATTTGACTATCAATCTTTCTAATGATCGTAAGCATTAGTATGTAGTAAAATTGTAGTTTGTAATAGTTAACTCCGTTTCTGAAAGATCTATTTGAACAGTGTTTTTAGGAACATATTAACGCGAAATAGATGTCTCTTATTTTTTACGATACCACTAGGAAAATGTGTGCATTAAGGTTTGACTTACAAACGCTGTATTACACTGTATAAATAGTTTGATTCCTTCAAATAACCTGAAGTGCAACAAAGTGGCTAATTCTAACAGGCTAACATTATTAAGTTATTGTTTGTTATGTTGCGTTATGAAAGTAATTGTATAGTTAAAGGTTGGTGTTTCCTAAAATATTGGAAATACCAGTCTACGTTGATGGGGTTGCACCTCATTCGTTTTATTATTCCACAATAAATCGATGATCTAACCTACGAGTTTTGACTTGAACTCTAGTAAATAACTCTAATCTTACCATAACAAGTTTATCTTGACCACTGACTTGTATATTTCTTAATTATTAATTCTTTTCCGAACCCATATTTTTTTGTAAACTTTTCAAGGTCATGACACTAACTGTTTGGTCTTGGGTAATCAGTGAAAAAGGTTTATTTGCAAGAAATAGACGAAAAACCACGCTGTACAATGAAAAATTATATTATTTGTAGCTTCATCTAAATTCGAAGTTGTTTATTTTAGTTTGCACTCCAACCATGTATTGTACACATGCTTATCCATTTATCTCCGTGACATCATTATGTGCTAGTATATACTCTTAATTTATTCCATATTATTCGGACGTTATTAACGTAGAGTTCAGAGTCTCGTTCAACAAAAAGCTTATAGTTCACGACTATTTTGTAGCTATCATTAATTTGAAATTCCCAGTTATTGTTATATCCATAATCTAATGCAACAGCATTAAAATGATGTGCCTTAACATCAACTGACATTTCATGAAAATAAATCCTGGTACTACTATGGCTTTTTGGTATAAGCAATGCTCTAGTCTATTCTGTGTTCTGTTCCTACTACTAATAACTATAGTATCATTTCATTGATAAACGTATGATGTTTTCAGTAATTCCTCACTCTATATAGTCCATAAAATATAAGTAATTGGAATTCTGAATGAGGTCTGAAAATTCATGCAGACAACTATCTTCATTCTTTTTCATATTCGTAGGAATTATTCGAGGACCTCTATTCAACCATAGTCTTGTTATAACTTTAATTATCATTCGTGGATAAAAAAATAATTTTTAAGTCAAGGGCATCTCAGATTATCTAGTTGGGTTTTTAGATTCTGTCAGTCACCCACATGCTTTCATCCTTTTCCCCCATATATTTTTTCCTCTCTTAGGGTAACACGTCATCCGTACCTCACTCACTTCATTCAGAAGTAAATGAATCAGTCGAAATGGTTTCTGTCAAGGAGACTCGTCTATATAAGATTTTAAATGTTCTGGACCCTCGTACCGGCACTCGGATTGATCCAAACGAAGCTGCTAAGAAAGGTCTTATCAATTTGGAATCTTTCACATACCATGGGGTACAACCAAGTATTCCAATTGAATCAGCACAACAATTAGGTTATATATCAATTTACGGCAATAATTATGAAGCCTCTCATGATAGTCTTATGGTAGATTCTACAGATAAGTTATCATATACTTTAGCTCAATTATTTAATAATGGTCAACTAGTTAAACAGTCCGGATCGAAATGTGTTATCAAAGTCCCAGGATACACAGATCCAATGTCTTTAAATGCAGCTATTACATTGGGTTTAGTTAATGTTGAACATTCAATAGTGAAAGAATTTAACACAGAAAAATTGTATTCATTGGATAAAGCTATTTTAGTTGGTTTAATAAATGATCATAAAGGTCTTTTATTGTATAAAAATAAATGGATTCCATTGACTGATGCTATAAATCGAGGTTTGATAGCTGATAAAAAATTACCAACAGAAATACCGACTTTTGAAGAAGCTCTCGAGAAAGGATTAATTGATCCAGCCTCAAATACTTTTCATCAATCAGACAACAATAGTAATTCTAATCGGTCGTATTCTATAAATGTTCATGATGCTATTAAACAAGGATTATTGAAACCTCCGGCTACTGAAGTAAGTTGTAATAAACATTTTGGCTTTTTTATCCATTCTCATTATAAATTAGACTTTGCTGAAATTTTTAACCTATTTGATTCTTAGAGAATAGAAGTTCTTTACACGAGTGTTCACTTCTATTTCTTTTTTACAACTGAATAAGTGAATCATAAACAGAATTCTATCTATTCGAAATGATTAAAAGTACTTACAATTAATTTCGTACTTTGTTTCACGTAACTAACAGTATTTCACCCAGAAATTAACTCACATATACTTTTAACTTCATATGAAAGTCAACAGAAGTTTGATTTTGATTAGTTGACTGAACAAAGCAACAAACTATGTAATTTATACCACTATTCTCACTGATTACTGTTTGCTAATGCTAAAGATGACTTTTAGCTAAACCTTCTGATGTCCTTAAAAATTATCAAACTCTCAAACGTAGTAGCTCTATTGAACTCAGATATATTAACTGGACCGAGTGGAAAGATATCTTGGGTCTTTTACAAGGCGAAAGTATAATGATCACTGTCTGCTGCAACTATGCTCTTATGATGTATGACTTGGCAATCGTAGTGACTAACTCAGCAGTTAAAACAGTTATACTGTCATACATAATTCGAATCTGATCATGTTTTTGCTACCATCACACTTTATGGACACAGAAAGACCACAAATTTAGTGCAGCAGTGGCACAATGTAAATCATTTATAAAATGGTAGATAATGCACACAATGATTATGAACAGTGTTAAGCATTGAAAATCAGAGGTGATGAAAGCAGTAGTGATAGGTAACGGTTGATAACTGTTTAAACTCATCAAGGAGACTACATTTATAGATCAGTACATAAGACTCTAAAATATAAAGTTCGGTCGACAATCCGGATTAATCTTTTAGAGCAGATCATTCGGCCTCCAACCAGCTTTCAGTCGCTTCCAACCTATAGCTTCAGCAATGTAGGCACTTGACTCTCGGATATTTAGTTCACATTGTAACAGCTTCTCAGTACACATATATCTGCCCTTTTTGAATACTCACTTAAAAACCTGAGTGCTTTTATTTGAGTGTATGTGCTTGTTTGTTTATCACCCTTTAGCTTGCTTTTATCTATCTGACTATCAGTGTTATGTTTGATAAAACTGAGTAGACTTGGATGCCGTTGCCCATACTTCGCTTCTTACAGTCTATCTGAATAAATGAATGTCTGAAATAAAATTTTCCAACTCAGTTTGTATTTGGCTCTTATTACCACTGTTGCACAATGGGGTTAACCTAAGTATAATACACGGAATTAAAAGGAGGATTTATGTTTTATGGCTCGTTCATCATCATTCATAATGATGTTTGTGATCTGTCCCAATACGTATTTAAGTCAAACTCATAAATGATCGCCATAAGTTATACAAACCCAAGTTTGCTTATTAACTTATATTCATACCTTTCTTCACCTACTGTATGAACTTTAAAATAGATGTTGACAAAAATCATTAATGATGAGGAAAATTTACGTTAACTAGTTTGATTACACTTACTATTATACTAATTCTAACCAATAATTGTTATAAATAACCCAACCTTAAATAATTGTTTTATTTTTAAAACAAAATAATTTTATAGACTTTTGGAAATCTCAATAGTTTACCAAATAAAGGATATACTCATAGTATGGATTCCTTATTAGCTATTAAAAGACGAAGTGCAAAAGATTCCAATTATACTGCTGAACTACGCAATAACACATTACCTCCTATCATACCATCTGGCCATTTATTAAGTAATGGAAACGATTTTATTGCTAACAGTGGTCGTACTGAATCAAAATTGATCAAATTCTTAGATTGTCATGGTGTTGGACGACTACGTGGTAAATCATCTCATTGTAATTTACGCTCAAAATCTACAGTAAACGATGGAGATGAATATACTATTCGTAAAAAACCTAGAGTAAAAAGTTGTGATATACCTAAACTGAAAGAACGTAACTGTGTACTTTATGCTTTCTATTACGTACATGATGATGTACGTGTTGAAGCCTCTATCACCGATACAATGGTTCGTGAAGGTCGTGTTGACGTGCATAGAAAAACTATTTGTGATCCAATCAGTGGACAATTCTACCCTATTCCAGAAGCATTAACAAAAGGTTTTGTTTTCGGCATTGTTTTTACTCAAGCTGAACAACATTCGGAAAATGATCAGCGAACATCTAATTTTTTATATTGGTTGGAAGTATTTCATTATCGCCATGATATATATCGCTTAGAAAGAGTGTTTGATCCTTATTTGAATAGTTTAGTTTCAGTATCTGATGCAATTGGGACTGGTATTATTGATCCTATCCATTGTTCATATACTCATCCGGTAAGCGGAAATTTATATTCAATCGAAGAAGCTTTGTATCAAGGTTGGATACAAGCATTGCCTGTTGGTAATCCACCACCATTTGATTTAATCGGCAGTTCATTTGATCACGTTCATGTACGTACAGTTGAAGAAACTACCACTTTTACAAGATCTGTACATACTATACTTCGTAGTAAACAACTTCAAAATAATATAAATAAAGAAATCTGTTCACCTGATCAAAAATCTATGCATATTTCACCACAGACGACATTAAATGTACAACGTCAAATACAATGTAAAACACCACCAAGTTATCGACCTAATCATCGGATACTGACAGATTCTTCTATTAGATATAAACTGAAATCAGACAATCAGATTACACCATCTGAAATTAATCACAATATAAAAAGTGAGAAATCTGAAGTTTCGACATATTCACATCCTAATGAACAACACTATAGTGATCGTAAACAAGAGGTGAATAAAACTGCTAAGGTACGTTTACTGACAATTTATTTCTTGTTTTACTTCAATTTATATAAATATTCAAAAACTACTCAACACAGGGACAATAACAGTTTGTCAGCCATTACTGAAATATATATGTTTATATAAGTAGTACAAATGAATTTCATTATGTACTGCTATGATTCTCATTTTAAATTATTAATATGGTTCTTGTAAGCATTTTTACATAGTTTTAACAAAGAATTTACTTGTTACTTTTATGAGAACAATATTTTAATATAAGTAGTAGAGAATAATTCAGTGAATATATTTCTGTTTGATGTTACGTTGGTAAATACTTTATTAGCCATTAAGAAAATGCACAATAAATCCTAATTAGTTTTTATTATGGTTTGATATCAAATAGGATATCATTGGAAATCGCTGAAACTATTGAGAATTACACTTTTATACGGAATTTTAACACTTTATAAGAATGTATATTTATATGTAGATTTTATTGTAAGTCATTATTAATTTAACTGTCTAAGATAAATTCGCTTAACTGACTAACTTTTATGATACAAAGATGATTAATGTAACAAAACAAAAATTTCCAGTTACAATAAGATTTAAATAAGTATTAGCTTTATTCGTTAGTGGTCTAATATATATATGATGTCGTTAGAATAAACAATAAGATTGTCATAATTATTATAAGTACACATATAATATATGATAATGATAACTGTTATGACTTTATGTCCGGCTTTTTATCAAGTGATTTATCCATCAATCAAAATACGACTTATACAATCTTAGCACTGTACCAAACCAATGATGTTCGACCGGTATGAGCAGCCTAGCGTCCTTATTGGTCCTATGTCCGCCTAGCCCGTCCACCTGAGTCCAGAACAACAAATACCAGCTTCCAATAAGCTAATGGAATCATTTATTTCAGACATACGGGGTTTATATATCAATCAAACAGACCACAAAATAGGAAATAACATTTGTACACAATAAAGCCAAAAAGCGGCTGTAAACGTGGGAGGTAGTAGTTAATGAACTGAACATAGCTTACTAACCGTAAACCGTACAATAATAAATTATAGGTCAAAATAAAGCTTATAATAAGAGGAATATAAATATACATAATCTAATTATTGAATAGTTATATCATAGGAATGTATAGATAATATTAGTCAATTGATATGTCTCAGAAGTTACTCGTGATTTAATCTTCGCTCGGATAAAACAATAATAATATATAATATTATATATAATATAATTAAATTATGCAACTTGTCGAATAATAATAATAATAAACATTATCATGACTTGACAAATTAATCCACATAAATTTCGTTTATATAATACCAATCAACCTATTAACCTAAAAATACTATTCAGTTCATAAATTCTCTTCAATCATCGAGTTTCAATTATTCTTTTGAATACACTAGATGTATTTAATCGTTTCCTGATAATATTTATCATATCTTATGTTTGATTGTTCAAAATAATTATAATCATGTGTATATGAGTGTAATAGTTGAGGCTACAATTTACAGACGACCTTTGTGTTATACTAACACTTTAGCGCTCTTTTAAATATTTTTTCCCATTCTAAGAAGTAATTAAGCTGGAAAACTGGATATATTTTATGATGCTTTCATTAGTAATAAGTCTTTCAGACATTGTTTTGATAGATAAGTTCAGGATAAAACCTAGTTTAACAACAAGCATACATCACGAATTAATGTTATTATTACCGAGTTATGTTCATTTTCGAATGATAATTCATAATAACTGAATATAATCTAGTAAGTTACATTGAGAAAATCATTAAAAACGGAACAGAATCTTATAATAAGAAACAGAATCAAAAGGTGAAAATACGATCTTAAACAAATTAGTTAAGATTAATGGGTATTTCAATGCTAAAAATCTTTTCATACAAGGACATTAAAAATTCTTTCAATTCTCTATTCAAATATTTATATTTTATTCATTTCAAATGTGAAGAAGGTTAGATTGAAGTATAGTTTTGAACAGTTTACAATTTAGTCGAGATCTACTGAATATAAACTTCGAATGTTTATTAAACTTTGAAACAGTTATCATAATGATAAGTCTTGCTCATTGAACGCTATGTTCGGTTCCTAAGCTATTCTCGTAACCCCCAAGCTAGAACTACACAGCAACTTGAACACAAAAGAAAAGGTGCAAAATATCCGAGAAGCACTTTACTCCAAAGTTTCGTTTTAGTACAGAAAATATAGGGTTCTTATAGTGTTTTAGATGTCCTTGGGTTTCCCGAAAATTCTGGAATGCTACTAAACATAGTAGCAATATGGTAATCAGCCAATCAGAAACTCTACATGTGACTTCACTTTCTTGATGTTTCTGGCTAAACGTCAATTGAACACTGATTGAATAAAATGCTTCTTAATGTTTCATGAACCTTTCGTGTTATTTGTGAGAAGTTTTCTGGATCACCCCAACACATTAATAGAAATACTAATATGTCATCAATACAATATCATATCTTACCACTATTTCGTTCAATAGATAATACTCATTCCATTTTCTTTCTAAAAAAATACGTAGTCACTTAAATCTCTGTTTGAGCCGTTAAAAATTGTTCAATATAACAGTGTATAGGTATGCATATAACAATTGATATTTGAGAATAGTCCTAAATTGCATTAGTCCTATTCTTGAGTTTATGAATCTTTGACGGTTCATAAGAAAACATGACCAAGATTTAAAAAATTAGCTAAACCAGAAAAAAATTTTAACAAATGACTATAATTTATGGACGAACCAATCAGATATAAGATAATGAGTCACGAATTTGGGCGCGGAATTCATCCATACATTTGGCTAAATAGAGTTTTGGCATTATAGCTGATGTCAGTTTGTGATGAAAACCCTAAATCTAATTTTTAACCCTAACCATTAACTGTAAATGGGAATTCTAACTGCTTTACAACCCTCATTTAGTCCTAATTAGTAGTTGTTCACTCTCAAGGTCACTTCAGCGTCGCTCAAAGGTCGTCCATAAATTATAGTCTCACCGTCTTTGACTTCATCGATGGTCATAACAACGATTATTATTACTCACCTTGTCAGCTTTAGCAATGATATCGTCCTTATATGACATTAGAAGTGTTATTTTTTGTTAAATATTGTATGATATATTTATATATATTTTTTCTTTTCCGAACTGGGCACTTAGACAATTACAAACATATGTATATTGACCAGTTCAGTAAAATCACCATAGATTCCTTAATCTTTTCATATACTTCCACTGAATGGTCTGTTTCATTTATATATTCTACTTCCATAAGATGATTTTCAAGAAATAGATTAATCTTTGAAATGTTGGAGTTAAACAGTGCGACTATCGTCAATTCGTTTATAAAGAAACAAAATAAAAATGATGATAATAATAATTTCTAGCCTATATGTCGTTGCATTTTCAAATCAGATGACGACTCATTTTATCCTCTTAAACGACAGTTTGACTTTGAATAAAAAGCTTTGTCAGACAGTTATTCTAAAATTCAACCCCTGACTAACAGAATGAGACAGCAATTGCAAGTTGAAAATAGTGTCTGTCATTAATAAATAGGCTTATGTTCCAGAACCTAGCGAAAGATGCATTTAAATAAAACATACTATTAGGCTAAAAAAAACCTGAGTAATCGACTAAATATCATTACGTACATAATACTTTGGAAAAGAAATTGCCAAGTTTTTAATGCTATTTGATCATTTATATTAACAGTAAATCAGAGTTACGAATGTATCATCTTGTCTGCTACACAATGGGTTCATCGATAATCTGAGTAACAAGCTGTAAAACAATTGAATTATTTGAATGTAAAATTAAGCGCTTGCCAAATTTTCATTCACATATTCATATATGATATTTACTAATTGCTTAGTTAATTAATATGTATATTTTTTATGTATTAACTCATAATGTTTGTTTAAAACTGTTAACTAATAGTAAACTTCTTTCTTTTCCTCTTTTTTCCTCCGTTTTTTTTGCGTTGTGCCATTATTGTCGTTGTGACTGTTTATTTAAATTACTATTATTATCATTATCATTATCATTATTATTATTATTATTATTACTATTGAAATACAAATTACAATGATGATGAATTTCTATCATGATCATCTCATTATCACCATCATCATCATTATACTACTCATTTAAAATATCAAAATCATTTATCCATGGTAATGATTGTTAACTATTTGATACTGTCATTGTGCATTACATAATCAATCCCCTGTTGCATCACTACGTTCCCGTTTTTTTTGTTTTTATTTTTTTTTGTTTTTATGCTTCTTTGCTTGTTGACTATTTTAAATTTATATCCCGCGTCTGTGTCGTTTCTTTCACTGCTTGCCTACCAATTCGTTTGTCTGCTTATTTGCTCGCCTGTTTTACTGCTTGTATGCATGCATTTATATAATTGCTGGAATCCTCACTAAAATATAATTAAACATTATATATGTTAAGAATACACATTTTAGGAATTCTTTAGGTTTACCGCTGAAATCACCAGTTCATCCTCTTCAACCTGTCCGTCTAGTCGACAGTACTACACTACCAGCTATTAGTTTATCATTAGTAAGATATCAGTATCCTGATCCTACACCTAAAATTACTTCAAATTCATCGGCAAAATATACACCACGGTATATTCTTCTTGAAACTGCTTTTCAAAGAGGATGGATAGATACTGAACACGGTTTACTAAGAACACAATGTGGAAGAACTAGTACAGTTAATTTATTAGAAGCTGTAGAAAAAGCGTTAATTGATCCTAATCAATTGCTTGTATGTGTTCAGCACTATAATGAAGATAATTTGAAAGAACATCCCGTGTACGGTGATCAAGAAATACCTATTTATTATAGTTTAGCAACTATACTTGATACAGCAACATTGATAATGCAAACAGAAACGACAGAGTCTTTACATGAACACTGGAGATCAAATCTCTTGAAACTACTAATTAGAACAGGAATATGTTCACCAGGTGTTCAAGGGAGAATGAACGTCAGAATCGAAAAACGATTAAGCGAAAGCGATAAAGAGATCATTCGAAAAAATGTGTTACAGAAAAACATAATATGGCGAAATGAAAATGAAAAAACTGGACAGTATGAAACAAGTAAAAAGATCAAATTATCGGACAGCAAACAAACAATGAATATAAACATCGGAAACAATGAGAGGACGAACGAAAATACAAAAGAAAAAACACGTCCAATAACAGTAAAAATTGAAACAGGCATGACATATCATAAAATATTTCAAACAAAACAAAACCAAAAATATAAAAAATACGAACCAGATATACAATATACAGAAAATATCGAAACAAACGAAACAAAATATAAACACACACACCGTGAATTCCCGCACGAAACACATACACAAGTAATAACAGTAGGATCGACGAGCGTATCCGAGTTGTTGTCGGACATGACAGAGAGACGAGGTGTGGACAGTGGTTTGGATTCGGACATGCTGTCGTCAGATGGTGTTAGGTATGGAGAAGTGTCTGTTGTGCCTGACCAGCGTGGACTTCAGTTACGTGAGGCGATTGAAGCGGGTCTTGTTGACACAAAGTCTGGACTAGTTCGTGATCCGTCTAGTGGCGAGGTGTTGACGTTGTCACAGGCTGTGAACAGTGGTCTTATATCGGGTGAGCGGTCGTTGGTTCGCGATCCTAGTTCCGGACGTCTCGAGAGTCTTGGTAGAATGATGTTGACAGGTTTGTTGGCGCCTGTAGGTTTGATTGCTCTGGCGATGGAGTCGACGTCCTCGAGACCAGGAGATGTGGTGTGTGAGTTGACGAGTGCTTCGGAGCCAGTTGTAGATGTTGGTGTGGGCAGGTTGTCTGAGTTGAGATCTGTCAGTGGCACGGGTGATTCATTGTGTGTGGATGAGGTTGGTGCAAGTGTGGCGAACTTGAAGAGCGATCAACTGGAGTCAGTGACTCGTCCATCCGACTTGATGATGACCGATGTGAGAGTGGGTGAACGTGGTGAGATGAGTGTCGGTCGTGACGCGACACCAGTGCACAGAGGCGGTGATGGATCTGAGGGTGTTGTGTCATCAGAGACGATTTCTGAGTACGGTGTATCTGGTGTGGATGTGGATGACGTTGATGTGAAGAGGCGAGCGATGCAGACGAGTGAGGATGTTTTGTCGTTGAGCAGAGATGGTGTTGTGATGGGTGTGTGTTCGACGAGTGTATCCGAGTTGTTGTCGGACATGACAGAGAGACGAGGTGTGGACAGTGGTTTGGATTCGGACATGCTGTCGTCAGATGGTGTTAGGTATGGAGAAGTGTCTGTTGTGCCTGACCAGCGTGGACTTCAGTTACGTGAGGCGATTGAAGCGGGTCTTGTTGACACAAAGTCTGGACTAGTTCGTGATCCGTCTAGTGGCGAGGTGTTGACGTTGTCACAGGCTGTGAACAGTGGTCTTATATCGGGTGAGCGGTCGTTGGTTCGCGATCCTAGTTCCGGACGTCTCGAGAGTCTTGGTAGAATGATGTTGACAGGTTTGTTGGCGCCTGTAGGTTTGATTGCTCTGGCGATGGAGTCGACGTCCTCGAGACCAGGAGGTGTGGTGTGTGAGTTGACGAGTGCTTCGGAGCCAGTTGTAGATGTTGGTGTGGGCAGGTTGTCTGAGTTGAGATCTGTCAGTGGCACGGGTGATTCATTGTGTGTGGATGAGGTTGGTGCAAGTGTGGCGGACTTGAAGAGCGATCAACTGGAGTCAGTGACTCGTCCATCCGACTTGATGATGACCGATGTGAGAGTGGGTGAACGTGGTGAGATGAGTGTCGGTCGTGACGCGACACCAGTGCACAGAGGCGGTGATGGATCTGAGGGTGTTGTGTCATCAGAGACGATTTCTGAGTACGGTGTATCTGGTGTGGATGTGGATGACGTTGATGTGAAGAGGCGAGCGATGCAGACGAGTGAGGATGTTTTGTCGTTGAGCAGAGATGGTGTTGTGATGGGTGTGTGTTCGACGAGTGTATCCGAGTTGTTGTCGGACATGACAGAGAGACGAGGTGTGGACAGTGGTTTGGATTCGGACATGCTGTCGTCAGATGGTGTTAGGTATGGAGAAGTGTCTGTTGTGCCTGACCAGCGTGGACTTCAGTTACGTGAGGCGATTGAAGCGGGTCTTGTTGACACAAAGTCTGGACTAGTTCGTGATCCGTCTAGTGGCGAGGTGTTGACGTTGTCACAGGCTGTGAACAGTGGTCTTATATCGGGTGAGCGGTCGTTGGTTCGCGATCCTAGTTCCGGACGTCTCGAGAGTCTTGGTAGAATGATGTTGACAGGTTTGTTGGCGCCTGTAGGTTTGATTGCTCTGGCGATGGAGTCGACGTCCTCGAGACCAGGAGGTGTGGTGTGTGAGTTGACGAGTGCTTCGGAGCCAGTTGTAGATGTTGGTGTGGGCAGGTTGTCTGAGTTGAGATCTGTCAGTGGCACGGGTGATTCATTGTGTGTGGATGAGGTTGGTGCAAGTGTGGCGGACTTGAAGAGCGATCAACTGGAGTCAGTGACTCGTCCATCCGACTTGATGATGACCGATGTGAGAGTGGGTGAACGTGGTGAGATGAGTGTCGGTCGTGACGCGACACCAGTGCACAGAGGCGGTGATGGATCTGAGGGTGTTGTGTCATCAGAGACGATTTCTGAGTACGGTGTATCTGGTGTGGATGTGGATGACGTTGATGTGAAGAGGCGAGCGATGCAGACGAGTGAGGATGTTTTGTCGTTGAGCAGAGATGGTGTTGTGATGGGTGTGTGTTCGACGAGTGTATCCGAGTTGTTGTCGGACATGACAGAGAGACGAGGTGTGGACAGTGGTTTGGATTCGGACATGCTGTCGTCAGATGGTGTTAGGTATGGAGAAGTGTCTGTTGTGCCTGACCAGCGTGGACTTCAGTTACGTGAGGCGATTGAAGCGGGTCTTGTTGACACAAAGTCTGGACTAGTTCGTGATCCGTCTAGTGGCGAGGTGTTGACGTTGTCACAGGCTGTGAACAGTGGTCTTATATCGGGTGAGCGGTCGTTGGTTCGCGATCCTAGTTCCGGACGTCTCGAGAGTCTTGGTAGAATGATGTTGACAGGTTTGTTGGCGCCTGTAGGTTTGATTGCTCTGGCGATGGAGTCGACGTCCTCGAGACCAGGAGGTGTGGTGTGTGAGTTGACGAGTGCTTCGGAGCCAGTTGTAGATGTTGGTGTGGGCAGGTTGTCTGAGTTGAGATCTGTCAGTGGCACGGGTGATTCATTGTGTGTGGATGAGGTTGGTGCAAGTGTGGCGGACTTGAAGAGCGATCAACTGGAGTCAGTGACTCGTCCATCCGACTTGATGATGACCGATGTGAGAGTGGGTGAACGTGGTGAGATGAGTGTCGGTCGTGACGCGACACCAGTGCACAGAGGCGGTGATGGATCTGAGGGTGTTGTGTCATCAGAGACGATTTCTGAGTACGGTGTATCTGGTGTGGATGTGGATGACGTTGATGTGAAGAGGCGAGCGATGCAGACGAGTGAGGATGTTTTGTCGTTGAGCAGAGATGGTGTTGTGATGGGTGTGTGTTCGACGAGTGTATCCGAGTTGTTGTCGGACATGACAGAGAGACGAGGTGTGGACAGTGGTTTGGATTCGGACATGCTGTCGTCAGATGGTGTTAGGTATGGAGAAGTGTCTGTTGTGCCTGACCAGCGTGGACTTCAGTTACGTGAGGCGATTGAAGCGGGTCTTGTTGACACAAAGTCTGGACTAGTTCGTGATCCGTCTAGTGGCGAGGTGTTGACGTTGTCACAGGCTGTGAACAGTGGTCTTATATCGGGTGAGCGGTCGTTGGTTCGCGATCCTAGTTCCGGACGTCTCGAGAGTCTTGGTAGAATGATGTTGACAGGTTTGTTGGCGCCTGTAGGTTTGATTGCTCTGGCGATGGAGTCGACGTCCTCGAGACCAGGAGGTGTGGTGTGTGAGTTGACGAGTGCTTCGGAGCCAGTTGTAGATGTTGGTGTGGGCAGGTTGTCTGAGTTGAGATCTGTCAGTGGCACGGGTGATTCATTGTGTGTGGATGAGGTTGGTGCAAGTGTGGCGGACTTGAAGAGCGATCAACTGGAGTCAGTGACTCGTCCATCCGACTTGATGATGACCGATGTGAGAGTGGGTGAACGTGGTGAGATGAGTGTCGGTCGTGACGCGACACCAGTGCACAGAGGCGGTGATGGATCTGAGGGTGTTGTGTCATCAGAGACGATTTCTGAGTACGGTGTATCTGGTGTGGATGTGGATGACGTTGATGTGAAGAGGCGAGCGATGCAGACGAGTGAGGATGTTTTGTCGTTGAGCAGAGATGGTGTTGTGATGGGTGTGTGTTCGACGAGTGTATCCGAGTTGTTGTCGGACATGACAGAGAGACGAGGTGTGGACAGTGGTTTGGATTCGGACATGCTGTCGTCAGATGGTGTTAGGTATGGAGAAGTGTCTGTTGTGCCTGACCAGCGTGGACTTCAGTTACGTGAGGCGATTGAAGCGGGTCTTGTTGACACAAAGTCTGGACTAGTTCGTGATCCGTCTAGTGGCGAGGTGTTGACGTTGTCACAGGCTGTGAACAGTGGTCTTATATCGGGTGAGCGGTCGTTGGTTCGCGATCCTAGTTCCGGACGTCTCGAGAGTCTTGGTAGAATGATGTTGACAGGTTTGTTGGCGCCTGTAGGTTTGATTGCTCTGGCGATGGAGTCGACGTCCTCGAGACCAGGAGGTGTGGTGTGTGAGTTGACGAGTGCTTCGGAGCCAGTTGTAGATGTTGGTGTGGGCAGGTTGTCTGAGTTGAGATCTGTCAGTGGCACGGGTGATTCATTGTGTGTGGATGAGGTTGGTGCAAGTGTGGCGGACTTGAAGAGCGATCAACTGGAGTCAGTGACTCGTCCATCCGACTTGATGATGACCGATGTGAGAGTGGGTGAACGTGGTGAGATGAGTGTCGGTCGTGACGCGACACCAGTGCACAGAGGCGGTGATGGATCTGAGGGTGTTGTGTCATCAGAGACGATTTCTGAGTACGGTGTATCTGGTGTGGATGTGGATGACGTTGATGTGAAGAGGCGAGCGATGCAGACGAGTGAGGATGTTTTGTCGTTGAGCAGAGATGGTGTTGTGATGGGTGTGTGTTCGACGAGTGTATCCGAGTTGTTGTCGGACATGACAGAGAGACGAGGTGTGGACAGTGGTTTGGATTCGGACATGCTGTCGTCAGATGGTGTTAGGTATGGAGAAGTGTCTGTTGTGCCTGACCAGCGTGGACTTCAGTTACGTGAGGCGATTGAAGCGGGTCTTGTTGACACAAAGTCTGGACTAGTTCGTGATCCGTCTAGTGGCGAGGTGTTGACGTTGTCACAGGCTGTGAACAGTGGTCTTATATCGGGTGAGCGGTCGTTGGTTCGCGATCCTAGTTCCGGACGTCTCGAGAGTCTTGGTAGAATGATGTTGACAGGTT